TGTAACAACAAAGAAATCGTCATGACAGAATTTGAACTGTTTTACAGGAAACTATTATGTTTTTCGCCGATTTCCGAGGCTCAACAGTCGGTGTGCGCAGCTAAACTTAGAGCAGAGGCTGAAGAGCATTCCGAACAATTACCAGACCGAAGTTCTTTCTCATTATCTCCCGAGTAGGGGTGCGCGGATTATTCCCGGAATAATTTGGGAATACTATCATTGAGAAAATTTTGGGAATTTTAGGGGAATTCTATCGATCTTTTGCCAGATCCATTGACCTTCAGAAGAGTTTTGAGGGAATTCTGTCAATTTTGACCTGCCAGAGAACAAGCGTGCACGCATGGACGCACGTACATGTACATGTACATGCAGCAACACCCGGACAGTCATGTACATGTACCAGGGAGTCGTAAAATACGACTCCCTGACATCAAGAGTAGATAAACAGTTTATCTACTCTTGCTGACATGTAGATCTACTAGATCTAGTATAGTATGATGATTGATGTACATGTACTGTACATCCTGCATGCAGTGATCACGTGCCTGACCGTCCATTTTGCATACTAACGAGCATGCGCATGGCACGGTTCGTGCTGGGGTTCTTTTGGGGGGGGGGGGATTCTGGAGAATTTTTTCGATGTTTTGGGAGAATACTTTCGAAGTTCCGCGGGAAATGCCCGAAAGCATAATATCGGGTGCGTGCGAGCATAATCCGCGCACCCCTAGCCCGGCCTGGGCATGGAAATTCTGTCGTTATTCGCGAATTGTCGTTATATCCGCGGTAATCATCTAGTTTAGGGTCCCAAATTATTTCGCACTTTCCCAGTGTTCCCTGTACTTTCTGTGTACGTGAGAGCGTGCTTGAGAGTGTGTTTCGAAGTTTTGTGTCCTTAGTACTGAGTTGTTTCCTTTGACTTTGTGGTAATGGCTGGGCGTCCCGGTGCGCCGATACGGAATGCCGTCCCTCAGGGAGACATAATGATGCAATTTTGATGGAGCAGTGGACCGTGTTCACCCTTGTGCCGATCTTTTCCAGGACCCAACTTGGCCAACTCGAGTTCCTTGCCGCTCGGCGCTTTATCAGGAACGAAATGCTCTGTGACACATGTGGTGCGCGATGTGGCCTAACTAGGAGGCAGGAAAGCCACGATGGGTTTCGCTGGAGATGCAGACCTTGCCACTATGTCAAGAGCATCCATACCAACAATGTCGAGAATATGTGGATGCGTGCAAAGCGCCAGCTCAACGCAACTTCGGCACGTCTCGCGAGTTGTTTCCAACCTACCTCTGCGAGTTCGTGTGGAGGCAAAGAGTTCGAGAGGAACGAAACACCTTCGGCTCCCTGCTCCGCAGCATTCATCAGCAGTACCCTGTCTGATCGGTTCTGATGAAAAAAATCCATATCAACAGCTACTGTGTTTTTGATCTCGATTTGCAAATTATTTCTGGGGTTGACACGCTCTCACGTACACAGAAAGTACACAGAACACTGGGAAAGTGCGAAATAATTTGGTACCCTAAGGGCCTGGTCAGACTGCGGCAAATTTTGGTTGCCTGACGAAAACATAACAGCGTCCAGAATTTGAATCGCGATCACACTACACATGTGGGGAGAGTGAAAATTCAAACTTCATTTCGAGCGTCAAGTGGTTATCTCCACGAACGACGTCAAATTCCTTCACCTTGGGGATCGCCAACACCTTCAGTGCAATCCTTGCAACCATCCTTATGAGTTTTGTTGTTGTCCGTGGCCAATTAGCTCTTCGATATCGAGATGAAAAAATCAGTGATTATCAGCGTCAATGGCGTATCAGCGTCAAATCCTGTTTGGAGCGGGAAAGCGTGGTCCGTTCTTGCTTTTTTTTTGGAGCGTCAACTCTCACTTTTGCCGCTCTGGCGGCAAGTTACTATGGAGATTCGGATTATAATCCTAGGATTATTTCGATTTTGCCGCAGTCTGACCAGGCCCTAAGGGCCGATTCCCACTACGGTACCGTGAGTGCCGTGCCGACGATTTGGGTAGGTCACGTGTACCCCACGGTACGAGCTTGAAGCTGAGAGTGATTTACACCTAGTACCTGCGCCCAATCATTCCGTGCATTCCGTCGGCAGGCCGGATCACCATTTTTATCAATTTCTGACTTTGGTCCTGAGGGAAAATAGCGGGGGAGATGACTGGAGAAAGCTCAAGAATCAACCAATCGAAAAGCCAAAAGCCAAGAAAAAACTTCGTACCACAAATACAAAAGAAAGAAAAAACTTCCTTTCAGGGAGTAGTAAAATACCTACTACTCACTGCATTCGACCTCACGGAATACCACGGCATGCCATTTCCACCCCCCAGAGACCCTCGGCACCGGAATGTCCACGGCGCGGTACGGCAGGAGTCACGGAATGAACTCGCGCCAAAACTGCCCCTCACGTGAGCAAATCACCATGGGTACTCACGGCACGGCACTCACGGTACCGTAGTGGGAATCGGCCCTAAGGCCTCGGTCACACTACGGCAGTTTGAAGCTGGACGCAGCGTCAAGCCGCAGCACTTGACGCAGACGCGGGGTCACACAGTGTTTTGTTTTTTTGCAGCTCATGACTGCCGCGGCCTGACGCATTTGTCTACGTCACAAAATCACCAGGGAAACTCAATGACGACACGGATTTCCACGGAAACCGGCCTTTTGCTTATCATACCAAAAAAATTGTCGGACAAAGTTTTCAAATTTGTCATTGATTTTTGATTACAAGAAGACGAAAGGTCCACGCGTGCACGATCGTTGTTGCTTCTTTCCGAATTTGAAGCCATTTTCAGTTGTAGTGTCATGGATCAGGCAAGAAAAGTCCGCATCGCAGCTGTGTTTCTCCTGACTTCGTCATGCTGGTTGTCCTTTTTGGGGCTCTTGACGACAACACAACACTCACAAGTCAACAGGCTCCAGTTGGCCGATGACCCACTCAAACAACTGGTCCTTTCTCGACATCATTTTCTTCTCAGAAAATGCCTCGCTCTTCCGCCAGGTTCGGAGCAGAGCAGCCTCGGCCTCGTAGGTCCACGGACTCATCTCGAACAAAAAGAGGGAACAAAACAAACCTTGAAGAGACGAATGTCGAATAACTGCTCAACTCAAGCAAAGTGTCTTGAAACTAATTTTACTTGAAAGACACTGTTTTTCCGCCAAGCGTCACTCCCATCAGCGGCAACGCAGCCGATTTCCCCACGTCAGACGCAGCAGCGTCTGACGCTCAAACTTCCCGCGTTGCGTCAGTTGCCATGGAAAAGCTCATGATTCTGACGCTGACGCAGCATTTTTGCCGTAGTGTGACCGAGGCCTTAGGCCAAGTAAAAAAAAAAGCTAGATGATCGTCCCCGTCCGCCCCAGTTTTTGTCAGCGCCCCAAGAAATATTTTATTTTTTAAATCGTGAGTTTTACTATATGGACCACATACTACTAGTATATCACAACGTCAGTATCGATCTGCTGAAGAAAGAAAAAGAAAAAAAGAAAAAAAAAGAAAAAAAGAGAAAAAACCTTGATGTTGTTGTGTACACTGTGTGCATGAGAGGGTAAAAACTAAAAAGTAAAAAAATAAAAATAAAATCCTCCCGCCCTCCCCGATTTTTCTAAAAAAAAGGACGATCATCTAGTAATTTTTTTTACTCGGCCTAAACTAGATGATTATCCGCAGTCGTTATTAGCGAAGTTGACTGTAACACGTTACTAGTACTTCTGCTGAAGTCCGAAGATGCCATAAAATATATCGCGCACCCGGGCCGCATCAACCCCATACTCCATTTAGGCCATAATATTATATCTATAGGACCATAGTGCCATAATGGCATACGACTCCGAGTAGATCTACTGCCACTACCAGACTGACTACTGCGGCTCGTCGAATGGGCCATAGTATACCAGGGTATACTTCGCGTATCAGGGATCGGGAGTCGCAAAATACCACTCCCTATTTATGCAATAAATAATGCCATGTATAAAAATGACATCGATCATGTACATGCATATGCGCATGTATATTACCGGTATATGTATCATGATGCAACACGTCATCATCAAGTCAAATCGGGTAGTCATGCGTCACCGATGACATCATTGACCTGTCGAAAATAAAAGTCTATCTATCTGCTTTAAAATTATTTAGAACGAGGTCTGTCTCGTTGTCCAGGAAACGACCAATCAGCGACATTCCCGCCAAGGGCCTTATCAGAGTTTAAAGCCCGCTCAATCGTTATTAATTTTTTACTACTCTTGATGACGCGTCGAGGGCCTTGGATTAGTTTAACTGGTGCGTACAACTCCCTGTATGCATAATAGTACGGTGCAGATAATGAACTCTGCATAACGTGTACGGTGTGTTACTAAAAGCTACGCAATTCAGAAGTGTGTACGGTTTTTGCCTCCCGTATTATTTCATCTGTACGAATTTTCTTTGTCAACAGCTTGCGGAAACCTATAAAAGCGAGGATCAAAGTCATTAGAGTTATCGACAAGGGGCTCTCAAAGCCCCTAAATAGCTCCACAAGCTACATACATGTATAATAAGAATGAAGCTCGCAATAAGAGCCCAGCATTTCATTTGCTTCCATTCTACTTATGGTAACTCAGCACCACTTTAACTTACCAGAAGAAAATATTCTTTCATACCACACCAAGTCTCTCTGCACACAAACCACAAAACTACCCAATATAGTGGTACACAAGCATAATGGAAGTGAGATAATGCATGTAACCTCGTTCTAAAATAGTTAGTGCATGGCAGGGAGGGTCTTATGGCTTGTTTGTGCCCTTCAGGTTAGCCCTCGGGCCTACGGCCCTCAGGCTAACCTGTCGGGCACTAACAAGCCATAAGGCCCTCCCTGCCATGCACTAACCTATAATTAAAATTATTTTAGTAATTAAAAAATTGAGAATGATCTGAGTACCCCGTACCGGTAAACCTTTTTCATACTCGATATAAGGTTATACTATAGCTTTACGTAAATTACGACACAAGAAGCATTCACAATTATTTCAAATGCTCGACTCCCTGCTCGACTCTATTTATGGTGGATGGTCACCATAACTTGGCATAAGAATACTATTATTGGGAGTCCTGTACAGAATTGGAATCACTGCGTCTATTTATGGCTAAACGCTTCTATTTATGGTGGTGGTGGTGACAGCAAAAATACCAGAAGAGCCTCGGGATTCCCCGGCCCCCCATGGGAGTGGTCATGGATTCTACATTGTAGTAGCTGATCGAATCTCTGCGTGGACGTAGATCTACCTGTCGGCATGTCATTGTCTACTTCTACTTTTTAGCAGTAGTGCCGCAGGGTGGTGAACTACTCGAAGTCAGAACAGAATCACTGCTGCTAGCAATATTGAGAGATGGCTGTCGTAAGGACTTTCCCAGCACCAAAAGTCAAGAATCCGTTCTACCATCACATACAATGGACTCCTTCCCTCGTGATCCAGGTACGGATTTATCATAATTTCCAACTTTATACTAGTCCAATGTACAGTACTTGAATGTACGGGTTTTCTCTGATTGATGCTACGTGACATGATGTATTAGTGACGCCGAAGCACGAGGATCAGCCTAGTGACGTAGATGTATATGTACTTGAGCTGTCCCTTTGGAAAAGCGCGGCCAAGAATTCAAAATAGAGAGGTTCTGCTATACGTGAAACGTAGAGAAATCACGTAGAGAGCAGGTGTCTGGGTTAGAGTCTACGGCTTCGCGTGTTTTGGGTCCAGATTCATGAGGTTCTCTAGATCTACATTGTGGCACACGCAAAGAAAATGCGTACGGATCTGCTTGGTATCATACGAGTACTCGAGTGCAGGCGGAAAACTGCCAAATATGGAAGGGGAAGTTCCCAGTACACATTCCACGTGACTTCTCCACGCGAAACGTAGAGCAGAACAGGATTTCTTTACGTTACGGGAACGCGAAGAGAGTTTGCGTGATTCTTTGCCTCGCGTTCCCGAAACGTAGAGCAGAACCTCACTAATTCCGCAGCAAATTCCACGGGGAAAAGGGGCATTTTCTGCGGCATTTTCTGCGTTAAATCAAAAATCTGCGGCACTTTCTGCAAGTTTTTCACCCTCCTCGTAGAGGATATGTTGCATGAAGCCATTGAAGGAGCACTTTTCACACTATCCTTTGCAGTCACAAACTGAATGAGAGTGAAGAATCTTGGAGAGACCTGCACTCACCTACACTGGCAAGGGCAATGTGCTCAAAGTCTCAAACAGATCGCAAAGTAGTTTTCTGCTGCTTTTTGAGTAGTAATTTTACTAATTTACCCTAAAAAATTCAGATTCCGCGGGCAAAAGTGTGGATTCCGTGATTTCCGCGGATGATGGCAATTTCTGCGAAATTTGCCGCGGCCGCGGAATTGCGTTTTTCCAAGGGGACAGCTTGAAGAAGTACTGGTACTGTAGTAGAGAGGTTGCGCACAACGAAAATTCGTAGCGCCGTAACGAATATTTTTAACGAAAAGCTAACAAGTATTCGTAAACCGTGAGGTTGCGCACAACGCGCGAACGTTGTCGTAGTGGGTCGACGCGGCGGCCGCGCGGGTACGAAGAGTCAAGACAGGGAGTTGTAAAATATCAGTATTTTAGTACTCCAGGTAACGAAAAATATTTTCGTAGATCTGCTCTGTTTCGGTCACGTTTGGACGGATCTTCGGAGCAACTTTCGTTACTCGAACCCGGACGGTCGAAATCTAACGAATTTTCGTTGTGCGCAACCTCTCTACTATCTGCAATAAATGTACAGTGTACTTCTATTTTTTCTAAGGTGGTGAGATCTGTACTACTATAGGAGACTGTACTACTATAGGATACTGTACTACCGTACTGGCAATATATGTTGCCGCGTAACGCGTAACGCAGGGGGGTGCGGCGTAACGCGCGACCAGGCTAGTGCGACAAATTTTCGTTGAGTTCGTAACGCGCGTCCGGCGGGGTGCGGCGATCTTTTCATTGCAGTTTGCACTGCAAAAAAAAGGCTGACAACTGTGAAAGCACGTGTACCGCGTGGTGAAAAGTAGTTTTTGGAGGAAGCGCTCTTCCCCTATGTCACTTTCCTTTTGATGATCTTTTTGTGAACAGATCACTCTGATAGTTAAAATATACAGTCTTCTATTGATATCGTTGTCGCCCTTTGCCGTCGGGTTTGTAACAGTTGGATAGCAACTGAATTTCTGTGCCTTCAATGTGGATGAAAAGAAAAAATGATGCGGCACAAGCAAAAAAATGATGCGGCAATAGCAAAAAAGTGATGCGGCAATAGCAAAAAAAGGACTGCGGCAATATACTATAGAAACCTGTGTAACGGCTCCTGTGCGACTTTGCATGTAACGCCCTGCGCGCGGCAAACATGTGCCAATGTAACGCTTCATGGCCTCACTGCGGCAACATATATTGCCAGTACGGTACTAGGATCGGAGACGTGTACAGTCAACTTCGCGAATAACGACTGCGGATATAACGACAATTCGCGAATAACGACAGAATTTCCATGCCCAGAGCAAAGTCCCTTCCAGCTGGAATACATAATAATGAGAATTCGGGTATAACGACACTTCGCGAATAAGGACAATTTTCTGATGCCCCGCCGAATGTCGTTATAAGCGAAGTTGACTGTACTTGTATTGATTCTGGAAATATTGATTGCTTGGGTTGGGTGGCAAACAACTCACGTTGATGATGCTGTAAGGCTGTAAATAGTCTCAGGGATGAATTTATCCTGTATCACATCGCAGTTTGCGATGCTTAATAGATCGACTGCTACTCAAAAGTAACCGTGACTTGCAGAAAATTGCTATACATACAGGCTATCCATGCCTAGCCTGCGCTGTCAAGTAACACGCATACCGTGCAGTGTATGTGGTGCAGGTACTCTCAATCTGCATGCACATGTATGCTTCAATCGTTTTTTTGGCAAACGGGCTTTCAGGCATCACTATCAAGAAGGACAATGTGGTAAACACCCAACCTTCAAAGAAAAATGCTAATCAAAGTCAAAGACTGCTACACAACTGTGATTTCGTATCGCAGAAACTGCTTTGCAAAAATATGACCACAAATTCATCCCTGAGTCTAAATACCCACTACAACTATGGTAATACACAGTGTAGAAAGACACAAAGATGATAAGCAGGTAGGAAAAACGAAGTAAGGTGGACCCTGGTACTGTGCCTCAGTAATGGCCGTCACATCAATCCAGCATGCACTATTACTAGAGACATGTCCTTTTATATTTTCGATCGACATTCAACATAGTTGTACTACAATGGGAGACGTAATAATATTGGAGACGTGTACGTTTATTGAGGAAAATACGGTAATTGATGTTCAAGTCGACGCAGCATGCCAGCATGGCTGCGGTGCTGACGTGTGGTGTACGTGGTGGCATGTGAACTCCAAGTCTCCGACCCCTGGATTTTTACGTAGGAATCTTGCGGAGCTAAAATGAATCCTAGCGAGTAGTGATCATGACCCTGGCATGCCAGAAAAGCGTGAAGATCACCTTTCTTGAAACCCAAAAAGTATGCACCTCTGATCTTCGAGCTATGGATGCTGTGGGCGGTGCGCTGCTTTCAGTACGTATAGTGAAATGTTAAATGCTCAAGCTAGCTGGATTTGAATTTTCCTATGGCGATTTTACTCATGATTCGACGGGTTCGAAGACAGTACCTGCGCGTGACGCATCACACCCAAACCCTTCCGAAGTCTCTCAGAAAAACATACTTGAAGTAAAGCAACCGAGCCAAACTACCCAGTTTGTGGCTACGTAGTGGAGGCAGCGCACTGCACCATGCCCCGTGAGTCTTTCCCCTGCGAAAAACCCGATTCTATGAATGCAAATTTTTTTCGTGATTTTGCCAATGGCCTGTGGCTAATACTTTAGTATGGGCATAAATGTATGTTTTTCTCACACATTCAATACTATTATGCCGTATTTTCCGGAGTATAAGGCGCACTGCAGTATAAGCCGCACTGCAGTATAAGCCGCACTGCAGTATAAGCCGCACCCAGATTTTTGTCACGAAATCAAGACATCTACCCTGTTTATCACGGTTTATTTGACCATCATAGTACTGTATACGCTGCACCGACTTTTCTGCTTGAATCAAAGTTATTGGTGTTTGAAAAGTGCGGCTCAGGGCATGTTCGATTGATGGGATCCGGATCCCGATCCCGATCTTGGATCACTCGGATCCTCCCAGTTCCAATCGAACGATGGCTAGCACGGTTGGTCGTCGTAATGATGACGTACAAAAATGGCGATTGAAAGTTGCCAAGGTTGTCAAGGTACCGATCAATTTTTGTAATATATTTTGAAATTCAAATCAAAACGCGTGAGCTAGCAGGGTTCTGCGATCATGTTGTCGCCTCCATAATAGGACCATTTCAAGTCCATAAAAAGCTGCTGTTCCACTTCCATTCCATTCCATGTGTAGCTTGTGAAGTTAGCTGTTGTTCTCCTTCCCCGTGAGGTCTTGTTCAGTTCCATTTTTCGGTAGCAAGCATCATGGACGAAGGAGATAATGAGATTCGCCGACGGAAAATCCGTGTCGTAGTTGGCATTGTAGCTGTGGTAGTTGCCAGAATCCTGCAAAGTGAGGAGATACCGTCTGATTTGTTTGATGAGATTTGTGTACTGTCGCACCAACCTGGCTTCAATGGAGTCCTTGGATTTCGAACACCTCGACGTGTATCAGTTCCGCGGCAGAGGGACTACGTCGAAGTTGTTGTGCCTCTGCAGTCTGATGCAGATTTTCGTGGACACTTCCATTTTCACCGTGCAACAGTAGAAATTGTATGCACAAAGCTATCCCAGTCTGTCCACATGGCTGTGCAGGGCAATGGAGGTCGGAAGCCTATACCCGTGCGCAAGCAGCTTTTGGTTACTCTTTGGTGGCTTGGCAGTAAGAGCACCATTAGAGAGGTGGCAGACAAGTTTGGTCTATCCAAATCGACAGTATGGCACAGCGTACGGCGTGTATGTTTTGCCTTGCAGGACATGGCTCCGTTATTGATATGTTGGCCCCAGGGGCAAGGTGCAGAGAGGTGCAGAATTTCATTCAGCTCAGCACATCCACGGCGTCATGGGGGCGATTGATGGTTGCCATATCCCGATTGCAGCACCAAATGAGGCACCTGAGACATACCTGAACAGAAAAAAATTCCATTCCGTTATTCTACAAGCAGTCTGCGACAGGAACCTGCTATTTACGGATGCGTATTGTGGCTGGCCTGGCTCTGTGCATGATGCCAGAGTATTCGAAAACAGTCCCCTGAAGCAGTTGGTCACTGAAGATGTTCGTCGTTTCTTTCCTGGAGAAGCCTTTATCGTTGGAGATTCTGCGTACCCATTACTGCCGTGGCTGATGACTCCCTTCAGGGATGATGGTCACCTCACAGCAAGTCAGACCAATTATAACTTCAAGCACTCGTCAACACGGATGTGTATTGAAAGAGCTTTCGCATTGCTGAAAGGAAGATGGAGGCAACTCAAGTATCTAAATATTGTGAATGTTGAGAACGCCACCCATATCACCATTGCCGCCTGCGTGGTGCACAATATGGCCATCATGCACGAAGACGATGTCAGTGACTTTCTTCAAGACCTACCTGAAGGTGATGTACCTAATCCAACGTTGTATTTTCAGCCAAACACCGGTGCCGCAGACAAGCGCAACCGAATTGTGGATCTCATTGCTTAACAGAGGAAGGCAGACTTTCACAATTGTTGACTTTCTACTACTCACTTCGCATAATTCTGCTGTATTTGAGTAGGGTCCTCATTTCTTTCCACACTCTACCTTTCATGCAACTGTTCTCAGTATGTGAGTTGTGTGCCAATGCTCCACCATGGCAAGTTGTGTTTTGGCTGTGTAGTCTGGACAAGTTAATGATGTCATGAGATGATCATGATGCAATGGGATCATATTATTTTTATCATTCCTGCATTGCATTTTGAAACACAGACGTCATCGTGCATCCGGAACTCAAATCAAAGCATGTGTGAAAAGCTTTTGGGTGCCAGCTACTGACTGCAGAGAATGGCAAGGAATAGTGTCGTGCAAGTAGGCAGTAGTGTGTGATGATGCAATGGGATCGTATTATTTTAATCATTCCTGCATTGCATTTTGAAGCACAGACGTCATCGTGCATCGGAACTCAAATCAAAGCATGTGTGAAAAGCTTTTGGGTGCCAGCTACTGACTGCAGAGAATGGCAAGGAATAGTGTCGTGCAAGTAGGCAGTAGTGTGTGATTGGTAGTCTTCCCTGCCACCCCATGCTCTAACGCAAACCACGTCACACATACACGCAACCAGAAGATGATACTCGATATTGCGTAGGTAGTACTTTCTCATTATAGGCAGTGAAATAAGCACAAACTCAGCCGAGTATCTTGTTACCCATATCAAAAGAATGATACATCATTGAGAGATGGATACATAATAATTATAGATGCAAGGTATCATCACCGATTCATTGGTGTGTGTGTGTGTGTGTGTGTGTGTGTGTGTGTGTGTGTGTGTGTGTATGTATGTGCATGTAGCATTGGATGTTATGTAGAAACACATGCTGCATGCTTCACAAACTCACAATAGATACATAAATAAATAGTACTTCGAAGTATGCCTCTACTGCTTTGCAAGCCTATTGACAGCTGCAGTAAGGTCGCCAAGTATTGCCATCTGGTCGTTGTGCTTACGCTCTCGCCAGGTTCGATCTTCACATTTCGTCTGCTTGAGCCATTCCAGGGCGTCACTGGACTGCCCTCCAGACCGCTGTCTCCTCTTCTTTACGCCCTTCTCCTCATCATTAGCGGCAGGGGTTGCCACGGCTGCTGATGTTCCGGCTGTAGCATTGAGACGGACTGGAGTGGCTTGCGGTGTGGTCGGAGCGGATGATACTCTTGCTTCACCATCCTGATCGTCCTCCGAATCCGATAATTCAACTGGACGCTTTGGGGGTCTGGTGACAGGAACCAGCGGGCCACCCACACATTTTGGGTGGATGTTGGGCTTCCAACCAAACGTAGCATTCATTTCATCATAGAATGCAGGCGGCTGTTTACGGTCAGCCCCAGTTTTTTGCTGCGAGTCCACATAGGCTTTGTACGCTTTCATCAGGTTTTTCCATCTGTTTTCACATTGTTCTGCAGACGGATGTAGTTCCTCGTCCGGGAATGTTGCTGCAATTCGCTGGGAAATCCGGTTCCACGCACTCTTTTTCCTCCAGTTGATGTCTTGAAACAAGCCGTCGTTTTCAGACCGTGCCGAAATTAGTTCCAGCGTCAGCCGTCTTGTCCACTGGAAGCCAGGCCTACGATCTTGGCCACTGGGCTGAGAGGGCTTTGACGCAAGACTTTCAGCTGCCATTGTCAGGAACGAGAAAGATGAGGGAGATAGTGAATGCGTGCTGAATGCTTTTTATATGCGAGGAAAAGTTGTCCCTCACGTCATTCTCGCCATACTCGGATCATCTCTCCGGTCTGGTCCGGCCATGTTTGTAATTTCGGTGCCAATCTGGGCAATTTGCCGCCCAATGAGCCGCAGTTGTAGAAGCAGTAACAGCAAACATTGGAGTGAGTTGAATTGGAAGGAAGCACAAATGGAAGAAAGTGAAAGCTCCACGTGTTGATGGCCCAAGTGAAAAGGGCTCTCACAGATTCCGTATCTCCCATATGTTGAATTTCGCTGCACATGTGGGCTATTTGCCGCCCAATGAGCCGCAGTTGTAGAAGCAGCAACAGCCAAAATTGGAGTGAGTTGAATCGGAACGAAGCATAAACGGAATAATGTGAAACCTCCACGTGTTGATGGCCCGAGTGAAAAGGGCTCCCACGGGTTCCGTATCTCCATGTCCATATGTGTTGAACTCCGCTGCAAACGTGGGCTAGTTGCCGCAGTGATAGAAGCCGCAATAACAGCCAAAATTGGAGTGAGTTGAATTGGAACGAAGCACAAATGGAAGAAAACGAAACTTCCCCGTCGACTGTTGGTGGCCCGAGGGAAAAGGGCTCCCTGGGTCCAACGGGTTCCGCATCTCCATATGTTGAATTTCGCTGCCACTCAGGGCTGTTTGCCAGCAAAGGATACGCAATGGTTGAAACGGTAAACCAAAAAATAACAAAGGAATGAAACAACCAAACTTTTGCTGTGCAAGGCGTGAGGAAAGGCATTCCCGCGGGTTGGGTCCCGCCAAATGTGCAGTTGTCGTGCCAAAAAAGGTTGATTGGCAAAAAAGGATCCGTTGGATCCGGTCAACCCTGCTTCCCGAGGTGGGTTGACCAGATCCAAATCCAAAGGATCCGGATCCGGATTCGACCAATCGAAAGGGTGCGAATCCAGTGGATCCGGTGGATCGGGATCCCGATCCTACCAAACGAACATGCCCTCATACTCCAGAAAATACGGTACCTGTACTGTATATGTGCCAAGCTTGCCCCAAACTGGTCTTGACATTTTGTGGCACAATCATGAAAGTGTACTAGTAGGTACTAGTATCTGATCAAGGCGTGTAAAGTTTCTCAGCCCAACATTATGTACCTTGGACCACCTTACTTTCACAGACCACTGAACGAGACCATTTTTTCGAAGTTCCTTAGAAGGCTCCCTATTCGCACTTGCGAGACAAGTCCATGTAATGCAAAGTACGTCGAATCGCTTTGGAAATGCGACCGCTTAGTTCGGCCTGGCGTTCGCAGTTGTGGTATTTCTGAAGTTTAATACACTCTATTTTGCTGCGAATTTTTGGCTTTGACACGAACGTTTCCCATAATTATGGTCATACACATCTCGCTAGATTGTAGAACGATGTGTGTTCAAAATCAATGTACGAGGGGCTGAATTCCAAGGTCACCAATAATTGTTCTCTTCCCCATATAGGACCAACTGTGATCTGTTTTTCTTCTTGTTTTTTTTGTTTTTTGTTTTTTTTGTTATCGTCTTGCCAGACCATTATAGGTGCTATTTTCTTGCTACCATTGCGTGCCCTGCTGCTGTTATCCGTCGTTCCCTTCGTCACTCTGGTTGGTTTCATTGCATCTTATGGATACAGTGGTGAGCCGCATCACCACCTGAAGCCCTGGCAAAGGTTAGTTTGAATGAAATGAAAACTTCACAACCTGTAGCGAAAAGTGCACTGATTCCCATGGTGAAGGTCCCAGGTTGATCGGAGCAGCCGTTCCCCAGTTATACCTGCTTGACGTTTTCACTAAATTTGGTGAAATGAGGACGTCATGAACTTACCCAGACTAGGCCGGATTTATGACGTCAGAGAGATAGACTTTGTATGGGAGTAGATGGGGAAATAGCAGTATTTTGGCTCTACATTGTCCCAAAGAAGTCGGATGTTTTTCAAACTTCGGTATGGATATATGGCACCCTACTGGAATCTAGACTGGAAACAATTCTGGTATAAAGTTCGTTGCTAGCATGCTGGCACTGGAGAGAAACAAGGAAAAATAGATTTCTCCCCATCTACTCCCATACATTGTCTATCTCTCTGACATCATAAATCCGGCCTAGTCTGGGCTAGGCTCTGGGCAAATGAATGACATCATCATGATGTCACCAATTTTAGTGAAAACTTCAAGCAGGTATAACTCGGGATCGGCTGCTCCGATCAACCTAGGACCTTCACCATTCGAATCATTGCACTCTTCGCTATAAGCTGTGTGTGAAGTTTTCACTTTAGAGGGTGAACTTCCCCTTTAAAGACAGGTACATGAACTGGTATAGAGCTTTTTCAAGGTTGTACCAACGGTCACTTTTTGGGGTAATGTGCGAGCAATTTTTGAATCGCTGGTGAGCAGGTGAAGCCCAGTTCACGTTCACTTTGTATGGGAATGGATGTGTGGAGGTGAAAGAAGCAGTAGAATGGCGCTCCACTTGATGTCCGACACTCGTGTTGAGTCAGAGCAGTTGCCAGGAAGCCCTTCCATGGCTTGGACGAAAAAGAACAAGCTTCAGAACCGCTCCAAGCGCTGGTCGAGACGAACCTGTCACATTTCGTATACTTTTCAATGCATTTTGCCCTGCGACCTGTTCACCACAATCTCGGGGTGAACACCGGGGCGATGGCGGGAGCGGCGTCCTTGAAAAAGCTCTATATTATGATATTATGATGGCAGGGATCGTTCGACTTTGAGTCCGCTATAAAGCGGAAAAAAACTTTCAAATCGTTTATTTTTAAAATTGTCAAATTTTCCACTCTTCCAGTACAGTGTGCTGCACTAGTACATATATACAGTGCTGGCAACTGAAATCCGACCCCCTGGGGTCGGATTTCAGTTGCCAGCACTGTAGTATCTACTGTCGTGGACATGGAAATGCGGTCGGAGATCAAGCGGCCCCAGTGCGCTGGCCATGCAGCCGTGAGTACGAATACGATCAAGACGTGCAGTGCATGCAGCGTTTTTGTACGCACTGAGGGCGCAGGCCCTGCGTCATTCGACCGGATTTCCATGTCCACGACAGCACATTATAAATGCACTATGGGAACAACGACTTTTGTTTCTTCTATGTAAGTATGTTCTATTGTACAGATTTGCAAGGTTGAACATTTCCTGTGATCATCTGTACACCAAGATTCTCATTCCTCGTGGCCAGTTTGCCGTATGCACATTGTTTGAAATTTGTTTCCCTGCCTTACAATAGTATTGAAGCTCATGTGTGCGCGTGTCTGCATGTGTGTGTGTGTGTGTGTGTGTGTGTGTGTGTGCGTGCGTGCGCGTGTGTGTGTGTGTGTGCGTGTGCATGTGTGCGTGTGTGTGTCTGTGTGTGTGTTGTAACACCTGTCGGGCGGCAAAGGAAGCTGGTTCAAATCTTCTTCCCACTGCTAGCACGACTTGGTCTGCTAGGTCTTGGTTACAATTGGATACATGTGAAGGGCAAGAGGGTTCCCCAGTCAGTTGCGCCCATCTCGGTGCTGGCACCTCACACGCTATGGGCAGATGGACCAACAATGATCTGCTACGCGCTCGGCCAAGTGTTGAGTCGAGCAGCCAACAAGCACATCTTGATGCAGAGAGGTTAGTGACAGATGTGGAATCAAAAATTCACGTGTGATTGTAATGAGCCATTTGTGAGCTGTTTAATGGAGACTCCCTTGATTTAGGCTAAGGCCTGTGGAGAATCCATAAATACAAATACAAGTACAAAGTGCAATTCGCCGTTACAATTCATGCGGCTGCAACCAGGGAAACAGTTCATGCGACTGCAATCGGTGATCTTCGGCGATCCTTGTCCGGCTCCGTTTTAAAGGGGAAGTACCGTAGAATCCCGCGGATAAGCCCACCCGCGTGTAAGCCCATGCTCACGCATAAGCCCAGGCCAAGCTCGAACATCGCGAAGCTTCGTTGTACAAGCCCATGGGCCTAGGTAGTACAATGTACTTTGTTTGCACAGTGATTTTCAGCAATGTACTTCTCACTTCTTTGGTATTTCTCAATACAGTTGAACATCGATTATCCGACCACCTCTGGGCAGACAACTGTCAGGCGGTGTTCAGATAAGGCAAATGTTCCAGATAAGAAAAAACTGTCACACACTTTCAGTGGTTATTACTAGCCGCACGACCTTTTTACTTTTTACTTTTCAAAATTTTCGTATTTTTTGAATGGCTCACTACATGCACAGTGCGTACTCTACGGCACGTGCGCCCAAAAAACTGTTACGGATAATCGAATGGTCGGATAGTCGATGTGCGGATAATCGATGTTCAACTGTAGCACTATTTTGGTGTCGGCGTATAAGCCCATGTCCGTCTATAATCCCATGTTCTTGTATAAGCCCATGTTCTTGTATAAGCCCACCGAAATGTCCTTGTGAAACAGATAAGCCCATGGGCTTATCCACGGGATTCTACGGTATACCCTAAAATCATTCACCAGTTGTAGTCTTCGGGGTGCTGAGTCGAATGGTCTTGGTCCGAGGAAGCTGAGACGCTCCCTTCCTCCTTTATTCCCAATTGAACTCTCGCACTTCCACCGAAACTGGGTGACTGCGCCTTACTAGATGGGGATTTGTATGCAAAATGTCACTAAAAGCGCCGTTTCGTTATTCTAAAAGCACGGAAGACCACGATTGGTCCATATGTTGTAGTCTTTTGGGCGCCGAGTCGACTGGTTTTGGTCCGAAAAGGCTGCGATGCAGCGTTCGGCCCTTATTCCCAACCGAACACGGGTAAGTAAGCGGTCACGTGCTCATGCGTACACCAGTCACCTGGTTACCGTGCCTGCAGGCTACAACTTTTACAGCATTCCTGTCACTCGAGTTGAACCTTTGAACCTTTGAACCTTTGACTTGAACCTTGGTGTGAAAGTTGTAGCCTGTAGTTGTGTGTGCGTGTGTGTGTGCATGTGCGTGTGTGTGCACATGATGACACAGTTAATTATTTTACAGCGTTAGCAATATCACTGTCAGTCTTTTCTACGTTAACAGTTTTCACGATTGTTCTCCTACTGTGCCCTCTGTCGCGTTTCGGCATTTTGGAAACCGGCTTTCCAGGCAATCCTGTTGAGTAGACAGATCTTCAAAGATGTTTTCTAGACCAACGTATTCTTTTGTTGCACTGCACGTTGTATTTGTACTTGTGTTTGCAGAGATTCTCATGTCAGTTGAGTCAATCTTTGTTACACCAGGGGGTGCTGGTCAGAAGCTGCTGAGTAGTCACTTTGAAGCACCGGGTCGTTACATACCGCTGTCGTGCTATCCAGAAGGTATGTTTGTGTGTCTGTGTGTGTGTGTGTGCGTCTGTGTGTACGTGTATGTGTGTGCACGTGTGTGTACGTGTATGTGTGTGTGTACGTGTGTGTGTGTGCACGCGTGTTACGTGTGTGTGCGTGTCTGTGTGCGTATACTTGCATGTGCATGCACCTGCATCTCTTTCCTATCAGTTTTACAGCGAAAAGTGGACTGAAAGACTCCACGGTATTGATTATCCACTGCAAATAGGTTTTGTAGATGGAAGTTGCCTTGTCAGATTTTGTTCTAAGGCCAGAGTCGACTGAACTGAGCCCCCGATTTTGCATCGTGCTGTTACAGAGGTGGCTCTAATACGGAACAGCCTGCACTTTGTATTCCACTTGAAGTTCACTCTGGGGTCTGAAATATTCTCGAATACTATCACTCTATCATTAGTGGCCTGTGCAGGGAAATAACATGCCTTGTGTGTGTGTGTTTATGTGTGTGTGTGCCAGCTAGTTTGGTTGGTGGGTACACTTATGCCTGATTGGGTCTGTTGCCAACAGGCTCGGCTGCTTGAAGGTGTAATGTTGTGCCTGCCACCTTTGTTGGGTCCAGGGTTCATATACTTTCTATATGAAGTATACATACCTGTAAACCATGGACTGCTTCTGGCTAGATTAGCTCTTGTGTAATCAATGGTGCTAGTGAAGCTTTTATCAGATCCACTCTGATTTAGCCACCCACACTAGTAGCAAGTATACTGGGGGCAGGGGTAACTGCAGTGGATCCCGGGACGGATACCCTGATACCGTCAATCCTTTTTCTGCACCTTGTCTTCACCCACTTACTGAGGTGTGGTGAGCCCGTAAGTGGGATCATTTTCAAGTCCACCCAGAGTTTTGGGGATTTCAGGGGGTGTCGGCCGTTAGGCGGTTCAATAGCCAATTGAGCCATCCTTCCAAGATTCCTTTTGAGTCTCTCTCCCCTCTCCCGGGGAGACCCACGTGACCAGTTTTGGCAGCGAGCAACAAGTACAAGTGTGTGTGTGTGTGTCGGTGCGTGTGTGTGTGTGTGTGTGTGCGTATGTGGGTGCGTGCGTGCGTGCGTGTGCGTGCGTGTGTGTGTGTGTGTGTGTGTGTGTGTGTGTGTGTGTGTGTGTGCGTGCGTGCGTGCGTGCTTGTGTGCGTGCTTGTGTGCGTGCTTGTGTGCGTGCTTGTGTGCGTGCTTGTGTGTGTTTGCACACCCGATTAGTTTGCATCGGTGAAGAGTGGTTAGTTGGTAAGAGGGGAGCTGCTTTTTGTCTGGCTTGCTGGGAAAAGAACTTCAAGAAGCAGTCCTTGGTAAAACCGCAGGAATAGTGCTTGAGATACCAGCGCTCTCCTTCAATTCTCTCCTGCAATGCTCTCGTGAAATGCTCTCCTGCAATGCTCTCCTGCAATGCTCTCCTGCAATGCTCTCCTGAAATGGTTGGAGTTTCTTTGAATCTTCTGTTTAGACTGGCATTTCCACCAAGTTGGGAGTGGAAATGGTTTGTTTGATGCTGTGTCTGTTTGAAATTGGCTGTATCAAAGTTGAATTTGTCAGAGAGATGTACTAGTAATCCAGTGTAAACAGGTCCTGGAGAATTCTCCTGGCCGGCATGACGTTTCTGGTTATCGCAGGACCATGAACATTTTAGTTCAGTGTGGCCTAATATCCCCCTAGACATACACTGATATAATCATACCGGTATATAGATATTGTCGTGTGTTCTCTCTCTCTCTCTCTCTCTCTCTCTCTCTCTCTCTCTCTCTCTCTCTCTCTCTCTCTCTCTCTCTCTCTCTCTCTCTCTCTCTCTCTCTCTCTCTCTCTCTCTCTCTCTCTCTCTCTCTCTCTCTCTCTCTCTCTCTCTCTCTCTCCCTGTGTACATGTAGGTACAACGCACTGCGGTGACGGACTTCTGGCCATGAAGCCAGGTTTGTGAGATTTGTTACATGTACTTCAAGTACTACATATGTATCTGTCACATCTCTCCTTCTCTTCAGTGAAGTGTTAGTACAGTAGAACTCCTCTAATCCAGACTCCCTAGGTCCGTGCACTTCTCTTTCTAGCCCTTCTAGAGTCACAAAATGGGCTTTCAAACGAAGAAAAAAAACAAAAACAAAAAAAGAAAACAGCACTAAACTATTGATTGGCATACAAGCTGTTCACTTGCATGCAATGAGCATGGATTTTGATTTTTGGCTGCAACCCCCCCCCCCCCCCGGGATTTTTTCTCTTTCGCGGGCTTCTGCAAACTTTTGTGATGATTCCTTAAATGGTCATGCAAATAGCGACATTTTATCATTCTTTGCCTGTTGATTCTTCTGTTCTGCCTCGCATAGGCGTGTTCCGTGTCGGCCTTCCTGTTCAGCCTATATTTTTTAACTTTGGACCACGTGACCCAGTAAGACATTTGTTGGTGGTGGTGCTGCTCGTGTTGGTGGTGGTGCTGCTGCTGCTTCTACTGTTATTGTTGTTGTTGCTGCTGTTGCTGTTCTTGTTGTTGTTGTTGTTGTTGTTGTTGTTGTTGTTGTTGTTGTTGTTGTTGTTGTTGTTGTTGTTGTTGTTGTTGTTGTTGTTGTTATTGTTAAGAAGAGGTTGGTGCAACTTCGGCGATAGTAGGGGAAGAGTGCGTTGCTCCTTACATGGGAGCTCGCGGTTTTCCTGCCGACTTGAATTCTCACTTGACTGACTTACGACTGCCATCCAGAGCACACAAGAAGTCCATCGAACCGTCCACTCGGCAAGCCTGCAAGAAAGCACCACTCCCTGCTCAATACACAGTGTTTCGGGGAATTCAACCCTCATCAGTTGAGCTTGAGTAGGCTGAGAAAGATTGTGCCTAAAAAGCACCACTTATAGACTGCTCTCCAGGCACAAACATCACCAGGGATACAAACTTACAGAGACGCTCCGTTTCCAGCGCGATAAACACCTCGTGAACACCAGGTAGCAGCGTGAGTCAGTGCCGCTCATGGAGGTGTTTGTTGCGCTGGAAACAGAGCGTCTCTGTACGTTTCTATAAGTGGTGCTTTTCAGGCACAATCTTCCTCAGCCTACTCAAGCTCAACTGATGAGGGGTGAATTCCCCGAAACACTGTGTATTGAGCAGGGAGTGTTGCTTTCTTGCAGGCTTGCCGAGTGGACGGTTCGATGGACTTCTTGTGTGCTCTGGATGGCAGTCGTGAGTCAGTCAAGTGAGAATTCAAGTCGTTGTTATTGTTGCTATTGTTATTGTTGCTGTTGGTATTGTTGCTGCCATTGCTGGTGTTATTATTACTGCTGCTACTGCTCTTGCTGTTGCTGTCTACACACGGACACTTGGATAGTAGAGCCCGCGGCACAAGAAACAGGCCGTTTTTAGTTTCATCGGAATAACCAGTTTCACTGTTTGAATACAGATGGTCAGGGTGATGAGAATGACCCGAGGAACACCATTTTATGCAGTGCCAGATTTTGGTGGTGAAAAATTCATGTAAGCACAGAAGTCGACAATAATAAGCCAGGGGCCCCAAAGGCATTGGGGGCCTTGTCTATGCTTATCATATGCTGGGGGGGGGGGGGGGGGGGGGCTTGTCTATGCTTATCATATGCTGCGTATGAATTGTGTCTGATCATTGCTTGTCATGTCAACTGCTGTCCTTGCTTTGGTTTTCACCTAACAGGGCGTGTCCTTGTGGACTTATGATGGACTTACAACGTACGTACTTTTGATTCCCGCTCTGTTATAGGGAAGTTCTGTCCTATTAGACACCCTTAGCAAACAACGTTATGTTGCAACGGTATTACCGTAAAGGGGAAAGTACCGTGATTTGGGCTCGACCTTTAGCAAGATGCACGCTATTTTTAGTACGCTGTTGCCACGAGAATAGCTTTTAGTTCGCGCGGTACAACCATTTTATGTCACCATATACGCGATACAAGGTGAACTGCGTACGGACTATGCAATATTTGGCCCAAAAACGTACCGTTGGTCACAACGATAAATCAGCCCCCGTAACGTTTTTACGCTGCAGCTTCAACGCTATTTGGGTGATCAAGTCACGAGTACCGTAAAAAAATAGCGTTACCGTTGTTTGCTAAGGGTGTCTATTGACCATTATTAGAGACGTTCTGCTCAATGTAATTGCGTTAGTAAAACACGTAGGCGATCGACGGAAAGTCTTTCGTACACTGCATACGGATCCGTGTTCCTCCATGAGGAGTTTTCTCATCACGTAGCTGCCCTTGGCAACTCCGAACGCGACAGTGTACGACCCCGGGAGAGAGTCATACATTTATACCCCAATCCACTTACGGAGCACCTCCGTTAGTAGAGCCCTACTTACTTACTCTATGTAAAGTTGCTCAACTTTACGTAGTGCGGAACCTCTCTAGTATCTTGCGATAACAACAACAACAACAACAGCAACAACAACAACAACAACAACAACAACAACAACAACGCCATCTCTTATTGGCCACTGGCTATCTTGAGAATACATATTTGAAACAACAGCAACAGCATAGTTGTTCATGAAGGTCATGATGAAATAATAGTCCATGTCATCTCGTGCGGTTTTCATTACTTGTTGTATCAGCACTTATCAGGAGCGCAGAAAATGTGCCCGTGTGCCAGTTTTGGAAATAAGAAATAAATAAAAAACATACTTTTAGAGCAGACTCAACTTTCAGAGGCCCCCTGTTGACTGGGCATTGTTTCTTCTGCCATCTCAACCTGCGCTGGCGTGAGCGGAAGTAGGTAGCTTGATACGGACATCACCCGCTCGAATGGAAGGCCTGCGAGTAGAGTGAACAAGCACGAGAGACCAAGACCACACATGAAATACTGAAGTAGGAGCAGCATGCCTGAGAAAACTGCAGCGACTCTGTAGCTGTATTGCAGCGACTCTGTAACTGTATTGCACTGACTCTGTAGCTGTATTGCAGTGACTCTGTAGCTGTATTGCAGTGACTCTGTAGCTGTATTGCAGTGACTCTGTAGCTGTATTGCAGTGACTCTGTAGCTGTATTGCAGTGACTCTATAGCTGTATTGCAGTGACTCTGTAGCTGTATTGCAGTGACTCTATAGCTGTATTGCAGTGACTCTGTAGCTGTATTGCAGTGACTCTGTAGCTGTATTGCAGTGACTCTGTAGCTGTATAGTGCCACGAGGGACGAACCAGTAGCTAGATAGCGCAACGTTATTAGCAGCCTCTCCTCAGTTGTAATGACAGTTATGTGGTGGCGCAGAGTACTACCGTGTCGCTTCCGTTCCCTGGTGAATGGCGAGACCTTTCCCAACAGCACATTGAACGACACGACGGACATTCCAGGATACCTTCTGAACTTGCTCTCATGTCCTTTGATCTTTTGAACAGGGTCGTATACTCACCAACATCTTCACCACCCGGTCGCTGGAAAATCGGGTGAACCCAGGCTGACCGATAGGATAGAAGTTGCTCGTTTCTTCTTCATCTTCTCAAAAATACCCTAATGACGAACAGGAACGACAAATTATCCTCTGGCTCCGTGATCAAATCAAAATGAGAAAGTACAGTGAAGGTGATAATGACAAACATGCTGCACCCTAGAAGCGAGCTTCCAAGGCCAGAAGACTGGTCTGTACACGTATACGCCTGTCAATACGCGCCGACAGTCCCGACAGCGGCCCCTACTTTGATTGAGCCCCCCCCCCCCCCACACTCTTTTGTCGATTTTTGTATTTCAGGAAATTCAATAAAAAATGTAGTCGCTAGTCATAAAGAGGGGTCAGAAAGGCACACTTGTTTGGAATGAAGTCAGAAAGGCACACTTGTCTGGGATGAAGTCGGTGGTTCGCTCCTGTAAGTTGTTGCATTTTGCATGGGAAAACTCTTTTGGAAAATGGAAAAAATGGGCTATGGGGTAAATGTTTCCCCTGCCCGTCCCCCTACAATGTTTCCCCTGCCCGTCCCCCTACAATGTTGACCTGGCTAGACGCCTGTACTAGTGTAGATATTTGTGTTTAGAGAATTATTTGTAATGAGGGCAGTACTGATCATGACGATGATGCCTAAGAGAACAACAGTAACACTGCATTCTGCAGCTTATCGACTGTGTTTGGACTGTGTGTGCGTGTGTGCATGCGTGTGTGTGCGTGCGTGCGTGTGTGCGTGTGTGCATGCGTGTTGTGTGTGTGTGTGTGTGTGTGTGTGTGTGTGTGTGTGTGTGTGTGTGTGTGTGTGTGTGTGTGTGTGTGTGTGCATGCATGTGTGTGCGTGTGTCTGTCTGTCTGTCTGTGTGTGTGTGCGTGTGGACTGTCTGTTACAGAATACCAACATTGCTTATGAGCATGTGTCAGTTTCACATGACTGCTACTATTGAGGTATGAGAACTGCTGTATTGCTGCATGTACAGAGTGAGTGTTTTCGGTTTTGCCCGCGAATCGACTTTGAATCCGTTCATGAATTACCCCTGTTCATGATTTACCCCTGTTCATGATTTACCCCTGTTCATGAATTACCCCTCCTGGCTATTCTCACCACCCCCATGTCCATAGGGTGAAGAGATTACGAACCGATTCCAGGGCTTATGACATGAAAATCGAACGACTTGAATGCTCGAGATTCCATTCATGTTTCGATTCATGGGCATAATCGAACACAGTATACTACTCCCTCTATGTCCCCTCAGTAGAAGGCTCCCTCTATGTCCCCTCAGTAGAATGCTCCCTCTATGTCCCCTCAGTAGAATACTCCCTCTATGTCCCCTCAGTAGAATACTCCCTCTATGTCCCCTCAGTAGAATGCTCCCTCTATCCCCACAGTACTCAATGCCACAATGGGCAGAGCTTCTTTCGGACACACCAGGCAGAGCGGGGGTTTGTTTACAACGTGTTTTACACTATGTGATCCTCGGGCAAAGATGCTTGTTACCCAAGGATGCTTTGCCTAACTGCCGCATGGTGTGCAACTCGACTAGCAATCAAAACCTGTTTCTACTTTCTGTGATCTGCTGATATTATGTACTGCAGTGCACTGTCTAGCCCTGGTTATAACACGGATGTGCAAACCTTGGTTTACTTACACATGGGTTTTCTCTCTCTGTGTGTCTCTTTCTCTCTGTCTCTCTCTGTCTTTCTCTCTGTCTTTCTCTCTGTCTTTCTCTCTGTCTTTCTCTTTGTCTCTCTCTCTCTCTCTCTCTCTCTCTCTCTCTCTCTCTCTCTCTCTCTCTCTCTCTCTCTCTCTCTCTCTCTCTCTCTCTCTCTCTCTCTCTCTCTCTCTCTCTTTCTTCTTCTTTTCTTTTCTTCATACTCGAAGAGGATGCTAGCATACTAGTGTTCTTAGCTTGTGCTGTCGTAGTGGCTGAAAAACATTCTCTGTCAGGAGTACTCTGAACGTCTGCCGGCCATTTTTCAAGTTAATATGTCCAACTATGACCGCAACGTTGGTGTTGTTTCAAATCTTTATTCTCATGATTGTTGTTGTTGTTGTCTGCTCTTTTGCCTGCAGTATTTGCCTGTCTACAATCCGTCAGCAGAGGTATGTGTTACTGCGTTCAGTGCTTTGTATCTAAATCTCCTGTGCTGTGCAGGCACTGTGCGTACAGTGGACCACATAACAGGGGCGGATCCAGGAGGGGTTCCAGGGGTCCCGCGGAACCCCCTAAATTTGGTAAACGCACTACTGGCGAACATCTGCGTGTCCATGTACATGTATCAACTATTCAGTTTCGGCTACACTGGAACCCCTGTAGAGATCTCTGGATCCGCCGCTGCATAACACTAATGTATGGGGATCACGGACCGTCAAAGTTTATCCAGTGCCTATTCAAAGAAATTGTTTAGTGAATAATGTTGGGTTAGCTTTTGGGCTAACCCTAGTTAGCGATAAGACCGATGCGCTGCTCTCTATCTCATGCTAGCTGCGATCGAGCTGGCTTTACACGTGCACTCAACTGCTGCGCATGCGCGCCCAAATCGCCTTGGGTAGCTCTTGCTGCGCTGACTTTGGCTTGCGCTTTCCTTTGCAGTGTCACTGAGCAGCAACCGGAATTTGTTTGTTGAGAATAGAATTAATTATTCAGACTCCTTGTAGATTCCTCGCAGCCGTTTACTGCACGACAAACATGTTGTCTACCTCTGAAGCACGCCGTATGAACGTGTCGGACTTGCGGGCCGAGCTGGAAGGCCGTGGGCTGAATTCGAGCGGAACAAAGCCCCAGCTTCTTGCCCGTTTGCTGCTCAGTATCCAGGACACGTCGAGCTCGGCGGCACGGGAACCTCGATCTCCGTCGGCCACGCCATCCTCGCGGCAGGAGCACGAGCAGGAGCAAGAGCAGGATCTGGAGAGTGCTGCAGCAGGTTCTCCGACTCCCCAGATCCCGGACCGGAGCAGTAATGACGATTTGCGCCAGTTTGTGCGGCAGGAAGTACATTCCGCCGTCACCGTTGCCTTGTCGGAGGCGATCGCTCCAATGCTGGCCACCATCACTGCCCCTGGATCCGCTGGAACTCAACCTTCGGCGGAGTCTTCCAACGCTGGTAATCTCTCCGTTCCCCAGACTATACGAGAGAAAATATTGAAGGGTGACTTTGTAGATTTCACCCAGCTGCTGCCCGATACTATCGCCACCTCGTATTCTGCCCCACGCCAGCTTCAGCTGCAGTTCAGCAGTGGCGGCCAGTCTCTGGAGGTGGTGGAAGGTGGAGCGGCGCAGCCCGTTCGTCGACGCGTCCACGACTTGCCGACATGGCTGGAGGCATGGACTCTCTTCATGAACGTCGTGTGTTCTGCCAACCCGTCCCGCCTGCAGGAGATGCTCTCCTACCAAGCCACCATAGTTGCAGCCAACAGGCAATACTATCCGGAGGCTTGGCTGTCGTACGACACCCAGTTTCGCTCTGCCATTTCTGCTCAGCCAGGCAAGCGCTTTGACGTCATCGACATAAATCTGTGGCAAATGTCCGTGACTAGCCGATCAAGGCCCACATGTGAGTCCTGCCGCCTCATCCATCCCGGAGGCGGCCAGTGTCCCTTTCGTCCGCAACGTAACAACCAGCAAGCCTTCAATGGAGTCCGTACGGTGTCTAATGGCCAACCGATCTGCCGGAACTTCAACGCTGGGCGGTGCAGTCTCAGCACGTGCAAGTACGCCCATGTCTGCAACCGCTGCGGGTCCAAGGACCACAACGGATCTAAGTGCGGTAGGCGCCAGTAACTCTGCTGCTTTGGCTGCAGCTCCCGCGATTGTACATATTTCTCCCTGCACTTCACGTTCTACTGATTTCACAAGCGCATGTCCTGCTGTCCACACACCCCTCTCTGTTTCTCGCTTCGAATCACTGCTCCGTAACCACCCTGACAGTTCATTGGCTTCGTATGTTATTAACGGCCTCCGCTGCGGCTTTGACATTGGCTTTACCGGCAACCGCATAACTAACCAGCACTCGTCCAACCTCTCATCAGCATTCCAGCACTCTGCATTTGTGTCTGCACAGCTCACCGCTTCCTGCAACGCCGGCTACACGGCTGGCCCATTTGACTCGCCCCCATTCCCATTTATGTACTGCTCTGGCATTGGCGCTGTTCCGAAAAAGAATGGCAAGCTACGCTTGATACACCACCTGTCCAGCCCTGCCGGCTCCAGCGTTAACGACGGGATCCCTGCCGAGCCTTTCTCTTTGCAGTACATCAGCATTGATGAAGCCATTAACATCATTATGTCCTCCCCGTCTCCTGTCTATCTCTCTAAACTCGATGTGAAGAGTGCTTTTCGTCAAATACCTGTCCGCCCACAGGATTGGCATCTCCTCGGCATCCTGTGGCAGGGGAAGTACTACTACGACCGTGTCTTGCCATTTGGGCTCCGCTCTAGCCCGGCGGTATTTGATGCAGTGGCAGCCACCATCGAATGGATAATGCACCACGAATTCTCCATCCCTAATTTGCTGCATTTCCTGGACGACTACTTGTGCGTGAGCGTGGGCCAGGCAGTGGCGAATCGGCAGCTGGCCATTCTTCTCCGTGCATTCTCATACCTCGGAGTCCCGCTCGCGCCTGCAAAGGTGGAAGGCCCGTCTCGTACCCTGACATTCCTGGGCATTATCCTGGATTGTGAGAAGATGGAAGCCCGGCTCCCTGACGACAAATTGGCCGACATCAAGCGCCTGTTGACTGCAGCGAGCATCAACCCCACCATGTCTCAGCGCGAACTCGAATCTCTTCTGGGGAAACTCTCCTTCGCTGCAAGAGTCATCGTACCCGGCCGGACATTTATGCGGCGCCTGTGGTCTATTTGCAGTCGCTACCAGCAGCCTCACTACCGCATCAGTCTGACTACCGAGTGCCAGGAAGATATCCAATGGTGGCTACGGCTCCTGGAACTATGGAACGGAAAATCATTCTTCCTGTTCCCAGATTGGACACCATCTCCAGACTTGGAGCTGTTCACTGATGCCAGTGGCACCCTGGGCTGGGGCGCATTCAACAGCGGCCGCTGGCTTCAAGGGACCTGGTCGCCTGAGCAACTCAATCACAGCATTGAGTGGAAGGAGCTCTACGCGTTGGTCACAGCGTGCTGCACGTGGGCCAAGGAATGGCGCCAGCTTCGTATCACAATGCACTGTGACAACAAGGCTGTGGTAGATTGCATCCGCTCCGGCACATCCAAGTCACCGCCAGTGATGACCCTGATCAGGGAGCTGTTCTTTGTGTGCGCCCGCTTCAATTTCACCGTCACTGCTGCTCACATTGCTGGCCAGTCAAACTGCGTTGCCGATTCGCTGTCTCGTTTCCGCATGGAGGAATTCCGACGTCTCGCCCCAGCTGCTCAAGCACAACCAGACCGAGCAGTGCTGCCATTCCAGTCGATGTAATATAGCCTCGACATACAGGTACCGATTGTCATTGCTAAATTGCCGTATTGAGAACCTGCGTTGGATTTCATCCATCTGCATGCCTACCTTTATCCATCTCGTGCCTTAATCACTTGTTCTTAGCTCTCGTGCATTGGTGGTGAACGCTTGCTGGGGTGCCGTGTGCTGGTTTTCTGGGAACAGCTTCCTTCAACTGGTTGCTTTGCTGCTACTATCTCTGCTTAAAATTGCATACTATTGGTCGGCTGTTTGCGACGCCAATCAGTAGTCATTGCACCCGGTCGCGGGTACTATTGCCGCTCAAGCATGAGCGATTGCTTTGGCCGTTTGCAACGCCAACTGCTTCACCCTGGTTGGCTGTTTGCAACGTCGATCAGGGAACTTTGCACCCGGTCGCGGGTACTGCTGCAGCTCAGTCGTGAGCGATCACTTTGGCTGTTTGCAACGCCAATCGCTTCACCAGTTGATCGAAACCAGCACACTGGTGTACCCCAATCATCCTTGTGCGGTGTTGTGAGAATACGTGGGTATGCATGCAGCTTTGCTCTGTGACTTTCCATTGCATGTAGTCACTTGGCTCTCCCATTTCCTATACACTGCTCTGATGCATTCGGGTGCAAGCGCTAAATGTTGGGTTAGCTTTTGGGCTAACCCTAGTTAGCGATAAGACCGATGCGCTGCTCTCTATCTCATGCTAGCTGCGATCGAGCTGGCTTTACACGTGCACTCAACTGCTGCGCATGCGCGCCCAAATCGCCTTGGGTAGCTCTTGCTGCGCTGACTTTGGATTGCGCTTTCCTTTGCAGTGTCACTGAGCAGCAACCGGAATTTGTTTGCCACCCACCCTCCCATTCCCACATTATATAGGTGGGAACAGCTTCCTTCAACTGGTTGCTTTGCTGCTACTATCTCTGCTTAAAATTGCATACTATTGGTCGGCTGTTTGCGACGCCAATCAGTAGTCATTGCACCCGGTCGCGGGTACTATTGCCGCTCAAGCATGAGCGATTGCTTTGGCCGTTTGCAACGCCAACTGCTTCACCCTGGTTGGCTGTTTGCAACGTCGATCAGGGAACTTTGCACCCGGTCGCGGGTACTGCTGCAGCTCAGTCGTGAGCGATCACTTTGGCTGTTTGCAACGCCAATCGCTTCACCAGTTGATCGAAACCAGCACACTGGTGTACCCCAATCATCCTTGTGCGGTGTTGTGAGAATACGTGGGTATGCATGCAGCTTTGCTCTGTGACTTTCCATTGCATGTAGTCACTTGGCTCTCCCATTTCCTATACACTGCTCTGATGCATTCGGGTGCAAGCGCTAACCACTGTAGTTCATTTTTTTGCTGTATGTTCACTTCAGGACCCCCGCCCCGCGCACGCACGCACGTGTGCATGCACGCGCGCACGCACGAGCACGCGCGCGCGCACACACACACACACACACACGCACGCGCGCGCACGCACACACACACATGTGCACGCAAACTAGATCCACTGCCCTGCCCTCTACACCTGAAGGGTGGAAGTGAGAGATTTGGTCATCTCTGTGCATTGACCTCAAGGAACTTCAATGTATCTCTGTGCTGCTGTTTTCTTGTCTAGGAAAAGGCTGATTGTGATCTTTACGCAAAGAACTTCCAGAAACACATGGCCAAGTATGTCTCAGTTAAGATGTTTCACTGACTAGCATTGATTGTGACCAGCTATTCTCTTCTTAGTCACTTTGTTTCAAAAAGTGATGGCATATCTCGTGTGTGTGTGTGGGGGGGGGGCATATCTCGTGTGTGTGCCTCTGTGTGTACGCACGTGCATGCACATCTCTCGAAACTTTGGTCCAGCACTCTATGTGTGTGTGTGTGTGTCAGGGGCGTCGGAACCGGTGCGGCAGGTGCGGCCAAAGCCGCACCAATAATTTTCGAAGTCGAAATTCTAAAAATCTATTCTACGCTTTTTGCAGGCCTGAAAAGGTGTGGGGTATCTCATGCATGCATAAAAAATGTACGGTACGCTGTACTGTGTGAAATTTTGTACCAGAGCATGGACGGAGGTGGAATGTGAAGGGATTTTGGACCGATAGCCGCCATGCATTCTTCGATACAAGGGTGTTTTATCCTCACGCGTCAAGCTATCGGTCCAAGTCTCTCCCCTCCCTCTACCGAAGGTTTGAAGACGAGAAGAAGCGTGCTTATGCCCGGTAGTTATGGTGAACGTGTCAATGAAATCGAGCATGGCTCCTTCACACCGCTAGTCTTCTCGACATTAGACTGTATTCACAGCCATTTATCTCCTTTCTTCCTGTTGTATAATTACTGTCCGGTGTGTATTTACCGTCATATTGCCAGGTGCGTGTTTACCACCATAATTATGAATAAAATACTCAGGACGGAGGTGGCAAATCATGTACAGTGCCAGTGGAGGCAGTCTATTGTTTACTGTGTCGAAGAGATGGATGGTTACCCCAAAATAGGAGATGCTCCTTTCCAACCCAGGTCGCATGACTACCCAAAGCGAGCCTTTGGAGTTAGCCAAGTAGTGTTCCGTGCATTCTTGCCATCTTGGTATGACAATTATCTGTGGTTGCATTGGGATATGAAGCGTGAACGAGTATTTTGCTTCACGTGTGTAAAGGCAGCTCGAGGAAAGCTCCTCTTCAATACGAAGACCGACGCTGCGTTTATTTCAACTGGCTTTCAAAACTGGAAGGATGGTCCGCGAGGATTCTCGAAGCACCAGTCCAGCGACTGTCACAAGGAGGCTGTTGAAAAGTTGGTGACAATTCCTGAGACAACTGGTCACGTTGGTGAACTTCTTAACTCACAGTTGTCGTCTGACCGTAAAGAGAATCGAGAGAATTTCCTCCTCATTCTTCGAAACATCAAGTTTCTTGCTCGACAAGGGCTGCCTCTCCGAGGAGCATCGCAAGATGGAGGTGAAGTCGATAGCAATTTCCACCAGCTCCTGACCGTCTTCAGTGAATTCCAACCATCGCTACAGAAGTGGCTAGAGAAGAAGAAGGGAAAATACACGAGTGCCGATATGCAGAACGAAATGTTGAAGGTGATGGCGCTCCAGATCCTTCGTGGACTTGCACGCAGTATCGGCGAAAGTAAGTTCGCCATCATGGTGGATGAAACCACTGACTCCAGCTGTACGGAGCAGTGTGTAATTGTCATTCGATGGGTGGATTCGGAGCTCCAAGTTCATGAGGAGTTTTGTGGATTTTACGCCATCGCAACGGCTAACGCTGACACTATTGTCAGCGTAATCAAGGATGCCCTGTTGAGGATGAACCTCAAGCTGGAGTGTTGTCGAGGCCAGTGTTATGATGGTGCCTCTACCATGAAAGGTAGTCGAACAGGAGTTGCCACCCAGATCTTGGCAGAGGAGCCCAGGGCTTTATATACTCACTGCTATGGGCATGCCCTAAATCTCGCTTGTCAGGACATGATCCGTGATGTCAAGCATGTCAGGGATGCCATGGACATCACATTTGAGCTCAGCAAGCTCCTAAAGTATTCTGCGAAGCGTACTGCTGAATACAAGCGCCTGAAAGCTGAGCTTGCACCAGAAGAACCTGGATTCCGCACCTTGTGTCCGACCAGGTGGACAGTTCGGGCTGCATCTCTGAAGAGCATCCAGACCAACTACAGCACCCTGCAACAGTGCCTGGAGTCGTTCACCGAGCTTGCAAAGAACGATAGGGAGATGTCAGCAAAGTGCAATGGTGTGAGGAGTCAATTGGCGAATTTTGACTTCCTCTTCGGTGTCTCTCTCGGTGCAAAAGTTCTATCTCTTGCTGATAACCTCAGCAAGTCATTGCAGTCTGCCACCTTGTCTGCAAGTGAAGGCCAAGCCATTGCAAAAGCTACTGTTGACGCTCTCCTGCTTCTCCGTACTGACAGTAGTTTTGAGGCTTTCTGGTCGAGCGTGATGGAGCTGCAGCAGTCAAATGACGTGCCTGAACCTCAACTGCCGAGGAATAGGAAGGTGCCAGCAAGGCTCCAAGAAGGTATTGGTGCTCCCTCATTCCCTGCCACAGTCGAGGCCCACTATCGCCCTGTGTACTTTGCTGCAGTTGACACAGTTGTGCAAGCCATCCGTCAGCGGTTTGACCAAGAAGGCTATCGCAAATACCGGAATTTGGAAGACCTTCTTCTCAAAGGCTGTGCTGGGCGGGACTACAGTACAGAGCTAACAGCCATTGCCTCACTGTACAAGGATGACATCCAGACGGATCTCCTTCATGACCAGCTGTCAGTCCTTCATGCGCACTTTGTTGCTGAAGGTGATGGTGCACCGACCGTGCCGAGCATTGTGTCTTACGTACAGTCTTTGTCCAGTCGTCAGTTGTTCTTGTCAGAAGTGTGCGTCCTGCTTCAGCTGCTGTTGATATCACCAGCCACTAATGCCACCAGTGAACGCTTATTCTCGGCACTAAGGCGGCTAAAAACGTACTTGCGCAGCACTATGACGCAGCAACGGCTCAACCACTGTGCTCTTCTTCATGTTCGCAAGGAAGACTGCGATGCTTTGGACTTGAAGACAGTTGGGAATGACTTTGTTGGAGAGTGCGAGTATCGCAGAGGCATTTTCGGAAAGTTTTAGCTGAGTTTTAACGACCGCAATTCGCGCTTCATTGTTCTATATGTTCTTACCTTACATGCCTCGTTTGTTGTTTCCATAATACGTGTTTCATTACTCTTTTTGATCTAGTGATTCCCTAGAAACCTTGTTGGTGGGTTGTCAACTCTTGTACAGGTACCATGTTTTACATCGACAATGCGGTGTATCGTCAGCATGCATATTATTATTCCTCATATCATTCTGTAGCATTAAAATATGGCCTTTTAGGCCCAATTGTCAAAAACAAATTCGGAAAGTTTTAGCTGAGTTTTAATTTTGCTTTGTCAATTTGTCAATGCTCAGAACAGCAACCACAATTCGCGCTTCATTGTTCCATATGTTCTTACCTTACATGCCTCGTTTGTTGTTTCCATAATACGTGTTTCATTACTCTTTTTGATCTAGTCATTCCCTAGAAACCTTGTTGATGGCTTGTCGACTCTTATACAGGTACCATGTTTTACATCGACAATGCGGTGTATCATCAGCAAGCATATTCTTCTTATATTATTCTGTAGCATTAAAATATGGCCTTTTAGGCCCAATTGTCACAAATTTTCCCGGGGGACGACCCCCGGACCCCCTCTCACACTTTCGCCGCACCAATGTTAAACTGGTTCCGACGCCCCTGTGTGTGTGTGTGTGTGTGTGTGTGCGTGTGTGTGTGTGTGTGTGCGTGCGTGCGCGTGTGTGCAGGTTAATTGGCCGACCAGCAACGGACTATTCAGCAGAGGACGGACACCTGACAGCGGCAGGTGTGAAGCATGGACTGCCCGCCCACGCAGGTGCTATCCAGTATCCGCTATTCAGAAGTGCTTTCGGGTAAGTAGTAAGAACACAAATCCTTTGCGATAGGCATACCTGTATGTATGTTATATCACTGAGACTTCTCCACCATCAAGTCTCGTGTCGTTCATCCTGCCGACATGACCCAGCCAACGAAGACGGTGGCGACGGATGATGCTGGTGATGTCAGGGTCAACACCGAGTGTAGCCGCTAATGCGGCCGTTGTGATCCGATCATCCCACTGTTGACGACGGCCGATACCCACGATGGACCCCGAACACACTGATGGTGGAACGTGTTGAGCTTCTGGAGGTGGCCTGCCTTGGTGGTCCACGTCTCCGCACCATACAAGAGGGTCGTGAGGACGACAGCCTCATACACGCACCTCTTGCTGCGAAGCGACAGGGTCTTGTTATCAAAAACGGGAGCTTTGAGGGCTCCGAACACAGCTGAGGCCTTCGCAAGGCGAGAGCGGACATCAGCACAGGCAAGACCATCCGAGGAGAGCACACTGCCAAGGTAGGTGAATTGGTCGACCACTTCAATCTTGTCTGCCCCGACAACAGCGTCATGGCGATCAGCAGACTCACCCACAGCCATACCCTTGGTCTTTCTCACACTGACCGTTAGGCCCCAGCTGCTTGCACATGCGATGAAGCTGGAAGTCATCACTTCGAAGGCAGGCCGAGAAGTTGCGTAGAGTGCAGCGTCGTCAGCAAACTGGGATTCTGTGACCATTGATGACAGGAGCTTGCCCTTCGCCATTCGGTCACCAACTAGCTTCCTCCCGACTTTATAATGAAAGGATATGCCAGCGTCCGGACAACTGGACCTCCAACTGGCAACGACGGCAGAGAAGTACAAATTGAACAGCATTGGTGCGAGAGTGCAGCCCTGACGCAATCCATTCTTCACAGTTATCGGGTCAGTCAGCTTGCCATCCACCCGAACAGAAGCAGTCATGCCGTTGTGGAGTGACTAAATGATGCGGAGCATTGCCAGCGGAACACCAAGCTTCTGGAGAACCTGCCACAGCGCTGCACGCGGGATACTGTCATACGCCTTTCTCAGATCGACGAACAGGACATATGCATCTGAATCATGCTCCAACGTCTTCTCCATCAACTGCCGTTCGACGTACACCTTATCGACGCAGCCACGTCCCTTTCTGAAGCCGCACTGAGAGTCTGGCAAGACATCTTCAGCGATAGCTTTGAGGCGGTCTTGCAGAATACGGGCAAGCAGCTTGCCGACAACGTCCAACAGACTGATGCCGCGCCAGTTATCACAGTGGTGTAGATCTCCCTTCTTCGGGATGGGCACACACACACGCACATGCACGTACACACACCCACACCCACCCACACACACACACACATGCACGTACACACACACACACACACACACACACACATTCACACACACACACACACACACACACACACACACACACACACACACACACACACACACACACACACACAAGACAATAGCCAGAGGTAACACTGCAGTCTATAGTCTATAGCACAAGTTTCTGTTATTTCACTTGCTCTCTTGCACTGTGCCGTGTGTTCATTCCAACAGGTTTAACTTGGCCTTCTGCAAGGAGCAGGTGAAACGCTTCGCGGCAATTAATTCGCGCAAAGACGGCTTCATCACGGCGAGTGAGATGCAAAGCTATTTCCACTGGCCCATTGAGGAAGATTGCAGGCGACTCTTCAGCTACTATGCTACTGTAAGACTACCTGCAATGGGCTGACGTGACATACTTATGTACATGTATATTCGCTGCTAAACACATGGGAATTGCTAATGTCCAACATCCATACATAGCACTACCGACGTGTCCTTTGAAATGTATTGCTTTCTCGTTGCAATCTAGCCGCCAACGGTCTCATTCATCTGTATATTCCCAGAATTCTTATGCGTGAATATATTTCGGTACCAGAGGTGACATCGGATATAAATGACAGGCACACATTTGATTATAATATATGATAAACGTACCACTGTGTTTTTATCCGAAGGTGTTGGCATGGCATCTGTGTAACATGGTATTCCGCTGAGGCGACGGTAGCTCAGGGGCTGTATGATCTTTATTGTGTGTGTGTGTCGGTGCAGAATGCGCAGCGCCGGGACCGCATCACATTTCCTGAGTTCCTGGCTGGTCTGGGTGACCTAGTTGTACCCTTAGGCACAGGCAATGCATTGTCATCAACAACACCACCTATCGATCAGCAGGCGTTCACGGTGAGCCGCTATTTGCATGCCTATCATGGCTTTACTCCGCTAAGGGAAAGCCAGTGCTTTTGTTGATGTCTCTTGCCTCTTGTGCCCCATGGGGAAAACGTGTGCTTGTGGACACTGATGGCATCTCAAGATCCAGTGGAGGACGACTGACTCAAGGATCTCCACTTGAGAGTCCCGTGTGTACAAGTCGTAGTACATGTAGTCGTTAGCAAAGTGTGAAAGTACAGCGTGTGCAAGCAGTCGGCTGTTATTGTATGCGAGGTGCACTCATGCTCATTACATTGGTGACAGAGTCTTGACATGTCGAGCACAACTCCAACCAGGATTTTGTCATGATCCATAGGTAAACTCCCTTCCAGACCATTCACTCCGCTGATGTGCTTGAAGAATGCAATCATCCTATAGGCTTCTAAGCAGTAATTTGGATGTCACCTCGTGTCTCTCTATGCCCCCCCCCCCCTCCCCCCCTGCCTTTCACCACGTGTTCATGCTGTATGTACCGTGTTATCATTTGGTGTGCTTTGAGCAGCTGCTGAGTGGAGGAAGTGACACGATTACCGGGGAAAGTGTGCGAGCAGCCATTCCCGCTGCCACGCGATTGTCGGAAAGTGACCTTGAGAGATTCGTCCAGCGTCTTGTCGGTGAGAGGTCATCATCTGCCTCGTCCTGCCAAGGTGAGTGAAGTGACAGACAGACGGGCGGAGAGAGAGAGAGAGAGAGAGAGAGAGAGAGAGAGAGAGAGAGAGAGATGGAGAGAGATGGAGAGAGAGAGATGGAGAGAGAGAGATGGAGAGAGAGAGAGAGAGAGAGAGAGAGAGAGATGGAGAGAGAGAGAGATGGAGAGAGAGAGAGAGAGAGTAAGTTACATTTATAAAGATAAGTAAGTCTAACAAATGAGGACTGAGACCTCTACAACAGGGTTTTTACGCCTGAAAGCAGGTGTATGATTTAACAAGCAGGTTGTCAGTCTAGATTTTATGCGCAGGTGGAGAAAAAAGCGCAGAATTTTGTAATGAGATGAAAAGCAGAAATAATAAGAAAAGATGAAATGAAGGCCTGCTCACAACCCCCCCCCCCCCCCAGCTTTGCGAACTGGGTATGGTGGATTAAGAACCCGGGTTCAACGCTCGAGCAAGCGCTCTCCACTCAAGGTGTTCACAGCAACTGATAGGAACTCGTATGGGGAAATTATAGAAAAGAAATAATAAGATAAAGAGAATAAATTTCAACGCACCTCAATGAGAGAGAGAGAGAGAGAGAGAGAGAGAGAGCTCTTTCTTGCACATACTTTCAAGTTATGACAATGTTGCTTAAGCTGATTGATAGTCAGTTCACTGTTTGCGGGTTTCTGCAGATTCGTTCAATGCAACTCTCGAGCACGATCCGGAACTGCGAGTTCTCTTGCAATGGTTGGTGCATGGCGTAAGCAGCTATCCCAGTGCCGAAGCCACAGCTGCTCACTAATATGCAGGTGACTATGATGTAGCTGTGTGTGTGTGTGCATGTGCATGTGCATGCATGCTCGTGTGTGTGTGTGTGTGTGTGTATTGTACGTAGTCGACAATCCCTCCTTAGTTTAGTATACTCTACTCGTCCTTCTCCTAGAACACACGTGATTACTCCGCCGGCAGCAACATACTTGACAACATTGTTTATTATTATTATTATTGTAAAAAGGAAAAGGACATATGGATACGAGTTAAGAGCAACTCTCCATCACTGTAACTGGATACTATATACAGTCAGAAAGTGCCGCTTTGTCAAATATCGTACTGGTCTTGTCATCGTCCAGTAACAATCGACATTCTTTGTTCCGTTGGGACTGTAGCTTTTGCTCGTTTTCGTTGCGCTTGCCTTCCCCTCTTTGGTCTTTCCATAACCTTGAACCTTCCAAGTTGGAAGGCTGTCGGTTAGCGCTACGGAGATGTGTTGAAGCTAGGTGTCAGGACGTCGAATGTCTCAGTACTCTGTCAGTTTTGTGCCTAGTTATTGCACTTTCTGACTGTATAATATTATCCAGTTACAGTGATGGAGAGTTGCTCTTAACTCGTATCCATATGTCCTTTTCCTTTTTACATTTTATTTATGGCTCAACATTCGAGTTTCAAATTATTATTATTATTATTTGTAAGAAATGGTTTGCTCCCCACACCGGAGCTCGTGGGGAGCAAACCATTTCTTACAAATCATCGCCGAAGTCGCAACCACTACTTCGTATTATTACTTCCTCCGTTAACAAAAACTTCGTGATGGATTTTGATCGACATGAAAACGCTTAGAACAGGTCAAGAACAGTTTGTATCCACTGCAAATCACTGGGCGAAGGTGATTTAGCCTATGTACAGCGTCTTTACAAGAGAAACTGTTGGTGGTATGAGCAGAGAGTTCAGTTTGCGTCGCTTTCGCTCGACTCATTTTTGACCGGCGTCGCTGTCGTCATCTGCTGCACGCGAGTCGTCATCTCTCTCGAGTCGTTGTTCAGCTCATTTCAGCCTTGCCTCGGCTTCTTTGATCACACTCCGCTGACCTTGATGTCGCCGTCGTTCAAGTTAGTAGGCTTTCAAGCTGCGTGATCCGCCGCAATGGCGATTACTCGTTTCCACCAGGGAGTCGTGAAAAATACTTTACGACTCCCTTGTTTCATCTTCGCTCTCCAGAACTCCGCGAAACGAGGAGTAAAGGCACAGCCAAACTGATTCTATTTTCTCTAATGAATTCCCCTGCCAGCACTGAACGGCAGCGGCTAGGAAGTCCAGTCGACTTTCTTTAGCCACGAGACTCGCATCGGACTGCAGACTTCTGAAAGAATGCATGGTCATCAGCATTCGAATCTGGGCTTTGCGCAGGTTGAACAAGAACTTGAGTTCAGAATTATTTCCATTGAGCCGTGCGATCGGAGCAGCTCCTTGTTCACTCGCTCATTGTGTGGGCTCGCTGCTCCGTTTTATCGCTCTCTATCACTCTCCAACTTACTCAGTGCTAAAGTGGTAGAGAGGCCAAGCAGCGCAATATCCCCTCGGAGAAGTGGTATTTTAGTTTCGCTCGCCATGACTGTCATCAGCTATGTTTCGACAGCGCAACCATCGATTCCGCTCGGCTTGTGAAAGGTCGCTTTTCTTGTATCGTACCTCTTTCATGGCATGCCAGGGAAGGCCAAGAAATTGATTGCGACTCATTTCACGGCAGTTTGTGCCCAAATCAGCCCCTCAAAAATCCATCACGAAGTTTTTGTTAACGGAGGAAGTATTATTATTATTATTATTATTATTTTCCCGTGTGTCTCTTTCCCTCAAACCAGTTAATATTTTATGACTTGGGGCTCCCCGCGTGCTAGTTTGTACGTAAAGTGTGTGGGTTACAGTGAGGGCTGCGTCCCACCCGCCTGTGTGGATTCACAGGAAATGTGAGTTACGAAGTCTGAAGAAAATGTTGAACGGCCGTTGTTGGGATGACGACTACACCATAGCTCAGTGGTTAGAGCATCGCTGGCTACAAGCGAGGGTCCCTGGTTCGAGTCCTGGTGGTGACAGTCAATTTTTTCTTCAGACTTTTCCCGTGTGTCTTTTTCCCTCAAACCAGTTAATATTATTATTATTATTATTCAAAGTATCAGTCGGGGAAGTGAACTGCCTGAAAAGAGAAAAAAACACCAGACCCACCAGGACTCGAACCTGGGACCTTGCTTGTCATGAGCAATGCTCTAACCACTGAGCTATGGGAGCTTTGGAGTGAAAAACTTGTCAACGCCTTCTAGGTTCGGCCTGGTCCCATAGCTCAGTGGTTAGAGCATTGCTCATGACAAGCAAGGTCCCAGGTTCGAGTCCTGGTGGGTCTGGCGTTTTTTTTCTCTTTTCAGGCAGTTCACTTCCCCGACTGATACTTTGAATTTGACGTTCTCCCAAACCTTTCAAAAATTATTATTATTATTATTATTTTCACTAGTTTGAGGGAAAAACACATTATTATTTTTTTTCCCGTTTGTCTCTTTCCCTCAAACCAGTTAACATTATTATTATTATTATTAAAAGTAGAAAGGAAAAGGACATATGGAAACGAGTTAAGAGTAACTCTCCACCACTTTAACTAGATACTATATACAGTCAGAAAGTGCAACAACTAGGCACAAAACCGACAGAGTACTGAGACATTCGACGTCCTGACACCTAGCTTCAACACATCTCTGTAGCGCTAACCGACAGCCTTCCAACTTGGAAGGTTCAAGGTTATGGAAAGACCAAAGAGGGGAAGACAAGCGCAACGAAAACGAGCACAAGCTACAGTCCCAACGGAACAAAGAATGTCGATTGTCACTGGACGATGACGAGACCAGTAGGCGATTTGACAAAGCGGTCTAACTACAATTCGAAGCAGCAAAGCAGCACACCACCCAACTTGGGTGGGTCAAAAATTTAAAAGATAAGTTAAGAAGGGGGAAGCTTTGCGAGAACGAATTGTACCAGCCGAAATCTAAACTCCTACAGTACTCCTCATGCATGACATTGTGATGGACTAGTTGACTACAAAACAAGTTGTTTCACACGACGTACATTTCGCCGTATGTTTTGTAGTCAACTAGTCCATCACAATGTCATGCATGAGGAGTACTGTAGGAGTTTAGATTTCGGCTGGTACAATTCGTTCTCGCAAAGCTTCCCCCTTCTTAACTTATCTTTTAAATGTTTGACCCACCCAAGTTGGGTGGTGTGCTGCTTTGCTGCTTCGAATTGTAGTTAGACCGCTTTGTCAAATCGCCTACTGGTCTCGTCATCGTCCAGTGACAATCGACATTCTTTGTTCCGTTGGGACTGTAGCTTGTGCTCGTTTTCGTTGCGCTTGTCTTCCCCTCTTTGGTCTTTCCATAACCTTGAACCTTCCAAGTTGGAAGGCTGTCGGTTAGCGCTACGGAGATGTGTTGAAGCTAGGTGTCAGGACGTCGAATGTCTCAGTACTCTGTCGGTTTTGTGCCTAGTTGTTGCACTTTCTGACTGTATATAGTATCTAGTTAAAGTGGTGGAGAGTTACTCTTAACTCGTTTCCATATGTCCTTTTCCTTTCTACTTTTATTATTGGCTCAATACCCGAGTTTCAAATTATTATTATTATTATTATTATTATTATTTGGAAAGGATTGGGAGAACTTCAAATTCAAAGGACCAGTCGGGGAAGTGAACTGCCTGAAAAGGGGAAAAAACGCCAGACCCACCAGGACTCGAACCTGGGACCCTGCTTGTCATGAGCAATGCTCTAACCACTGAGCTATGGGACCAGGCTGAACCTAGAAGGCGCTGACAAGTTCTTCACTCCAAAGGCAGCTCACAACACGTGCCACACATACTGATGGCACTTGGGTCTTTTTCCCTCCCCCAGGGGACCAACCACGGTCAGTTTCTGGAAACTACCAGAGGTGAAAGAAAGTGATTAAACTTGGAAAGGATTGGGAGAACTTCAAATTCAAAGGATCAGTCGGGGAAGTGAACTGCCTGAAAAGAGAAAAAAACGCCAGACCCACCAGGACTCGAACCTGGGACGTTGTGAGCTGCCTTTGGAGTGAAGAACTTGTCAGCGCCTTCTAGGTTCAGCCTGGTCCCATAGCTCAGTGGTTAGAGCATTGCTCATGACAAGCAGGGTCCCAGGTTCGAGTCCTGGTGGGTCTGGCGTTTTTTTCTCTTTTCAGGCAGTTCACTTCCCCGACTGATCCTTTGAATTTGAAGTTCTCCCAATCCTTTCCAAGTTTAATCACTTTCTTTCACCTCTGGTAGTTTCCAGAAACTGACCGTGGTTGGTCCCCTGGGGGAGGGAAAAAGACCCACGTGCCATCAGTATGTGTGGCACGTGTTGTGAGCTGCCTTTGGAGTGAAGAACTTGTCAGCGCCTTCTAGGTTCAGCCTGGTCCCATAGCTCAGTGGTTAGAGCATTGCTCATGACAAGCAGGGTCCCAGGTTCGAGTCCTGGTGGGTCTGGCGGTTTTTTCTCTCTTTTCAGGCAGTTCACTTCCCCGACTGATCCTTTGAATTATTATTATTATTATTATTTTTGAACGGATTGGGAGAACTTCAAATACAAAGGATCAGTTGGGGAAGTGAACTGCCTGAAAAGAGAAAAAATCGCCAGACCCACCAGGACTCGAACCTGGGACCCTGCTTGTCATGAGCAATGCTCTAACCGCTGAGCTATGGGACCAGGCTGAACCTAGAAGGCGCTGACAAGTTTTTCACTCCAAAGGCAGCTCACAAACTTGTCAGCGCCTTCTAGGTTCAGCCTGGTCCCATAGCTCAGCGGTTAGAGCATTGCTCATGACAAGCAGGGTCCCAGGTTCGAGTCCTGGTGGGTCTGGCAATTTTTTCTCTTTTCAGGCAGTTCACTTCGCCAACTGATCCTTTGTATTATTATTTATTCTTGTTTTACTAGGGAATTCCCAACAGGCTTTGATGCTGTCCTTCTTTTCGTGGTGGAGGCCCTGCAATCAACTGGAGCACAGTTATTGTTCCAACTTTCATTGGCCCGCTGATCGGTCTAAATTAGACACTCAACATTCCTGGTTTCCCTTGGACACTCCGCTCCTGCCCTAACAAGAATGTGTTAACGGTTACCTGTATTGCCTTGCCTATTGGACCTTGGACAATGTCTTGTGTTCTCTCTCCTTTTTTTTTAACTCACGAAAGTGCTATTGGAGAGAGAAAAATTGCTGCGATGTGGAGTTTTGCCACATTTTCAATTCTTCTTCTCTGTATATGCCAGCTTTGACCAGTTGTTTTATTATTTATACTGTAGAATGTCATGCAGATGACGAAATTATCATAATTATTATATTTATTGACTTGTTTGCCAGAGTCCACAGTCATCATGTAGATGGGTATTTGTTCTGCCAATCTCAATATGCATCTCTATCATGATGTACTACGCAGATTTCTATAATTATATGAGCATATAGCTGGCGTACAGAATGTGTCAGTTGGTCATTAATCAAGAGTACATAGACGGTTTATGTACACGTGTTATTATCAATGCCCCACTCGGGCGTGTAGCTGTACTATCTTTCCAAGCAGCTCTCATCCCACTCTCTCTCTCTCTCTCTCTCTCTCTCCCTCTCTCTCTCCCTCTCTCTCTCCCTCTCTCTCTCTCCCAACCTCTGTCATGGATATCCTATAATGATGCACCCGCTCTAGGTGTACGGAACAAGCTGCAAGTGTTTTCTTCAGCTCTGAGCCAATTTCTTGTATTGCCCCTAGCTGATTAACGTTAGATGCCCAGTAGAGCGTTACTCTGTGACTTGAATGGGTACTTCAGCCATGCTAGTACCATGTAAGTTAGTTACTCCAGCTAGTGCTCGGGCATGCTGCAGGTCTGTAGCACCTGGCCAGGCCATGGGCGGTCCTTATTTTGAAGAAAAAAAGTTGACCTGCGCAATTCGTGCAAGACCGTTTTTTGTATGGTTATTTGAACTTTTTAAAACATTAGACTTATTTCCATGACCCGGTGAAGTATCTTATTTGACTGGACCATCTGAAATCCCCGGTGCTGCGGCCATGTGCGGGTAGTGTCCATCAGTGTGCAATTTGCTGATACGGTGCGCGATGACAGTGACATACTCTTGGTCCTTGATGCAGACCCCTTCCGTACTCCTCTGTGATTCCTGGTCATGATTTCAGTCGCTTGCATTATCCTGCCATCACTGAACTCGAGATCGCCTTTTAAAATTCCTTCCGAAGAAGGCTTGGTGCTCCTCATCAAGCCACTTTCCTCTTTCCTCACTTGTCGTCATTGTGATATTTGTTTTCCTTCTATTTCCTGAAATTGCGGCTGATTGCAAAGTGCCTGGTTTCTCAGCTGAGAAGCACTTTACCAGAAGCTATACGTGATAAAAGTTATCGAAATGAATTAAAAAAAGGCCAACAGGAGACTCTGAGCCAATAAGTATTCGAGAAGTATCATGTTCTCCCTTTTATGGCCTTGTAACTGTTGAAGTATCATGTTCTCCCATTAGGGCCTTGTCACTGTTCAACGTGGATGGCCGCTGAGACCTGACGATCATAGTAGCTACGGTATGAAGAGTAAATGAGCTCATGTACTCTTGCTAGTAAGTAGTATGTTCACTGGGCAAGTAACGTTAGTTGACTGGAAGTTTGCATGAGGCGTCAACATAATTACACCAGTATTGAAGCCATGTTACAAAACAAAGAATGTACATTGATAATGTAGGCCCTTCGTATACTAATACATTGCTGCGGCTGGAGTATTTTCTTGACATAGGGAGAGATTGAGGTACATGTAGTTCAGTATACCATGATTCAGCTGCATTGAAATAAATTGCCATGGCTGTGTGTGTGTTCAGTCTGTGAATTGAGTGCGTACTGAGCGTGTGTTGAGTGTGCACAACACACGGCGCGTGCGGCTTGTCGAGATGCAATTCTGACGTGGCTCGTCGAAGACACCGCCTTTGGCTTTGAATCAATGCTCGTGAGATTTATTTCAAAATTGTCTACGCATCATCACTCCGTCACCTCACTTGTACCACACGCATGATCTCTTTGCTGCGAACAGCCTTCCATTCACCCTTCTTCGCCACGTGTTCAGCCATGGTCCATCCTGGATCATTGTGAACAATCGAGTTGTTCTTTGTTGACAGTGATCATGGGCAATGCTTGTAGCTGCTTGGTGGGGGATGCGGATTGACAGGTACAAGCTCGTAGTTCGCAGCAGCGACACCATGGTATTGTACGAGGGTGTTGTACGAGTGCGGTGACCGAGTGATGTGTACACAGCTACATCGGAGTGTGCCGGTTCTTGGGACTCTCGACGCGTAATAAATAGTCCGTACGTGTAGATGGCGTGTTCAGCCATGCCAGGAAGCTGAGAATGTACCAAGCACGGCTCAATGCAGCGAGTCGTAAATAATAGACCCAAGTTTAGGGGGGGGGGGGCTCAGTTAATAAAAAAGAAACAAAACAGTAAAAAATCTCAGCATACTAGTATTGATCAGCTTTGGCGAATCATGGCTGCTATGACCGGGCACTAGTGATACAACTGAGTTGCCATTAGCTTCTTTCTACCTATCCCAGGCATTCGATTGCATCCTCTAGATCAGTGCCGGAGAACTAGGTGTGGATACGGAGTATGTATTGCATCCTCTACATTGGTGCTGGGAAAACTAAGTTACGTGTAGAAGTATATTTCCGTGTCATTGCTTAGTCTGGCGCAGATCTGGCTTTACCAACCTTTGCCAATCGTGGGCTACACTGTTTGAATCCGGCTGGTGGCTTGTACCTGTTTAGTTGTCACTGGGTAGGGTCCAGCGCTCTGCGATATCACCGACATCAGTCGCGTCTGCTTCGCACCAGAACAAACCCGAGGAGAGCTCTTCCTTGGTCATGGAAACCGCACCGTACAGCGTATTCTCATAGTTCTGCAATTGCTCGAAGAAGCCTCGGTTCGGCTGGATTTTCAGACGGCGGTTCTTAGCGAAAGCGTACGCCTCTTTGAGCGTCAGGAAATACCGCTTCATGAGGTAGCTGATGGCTACAGTTCCAGAACGGGATATTCCAGCTTGGCAGTGGATGAGGATACGCTGATTGGTCTTCAAGGCAAGATCAATAAATTCATGGGCTTTGTCGAACAGCCGAGAAATGTCTTCCTTTGGTTTGTCTTGACATGGCAGGTGGAGGTAATCCGATGGCTGGCCAACTGCTGGCTTTCTATCCGAAGCGCTTTGCTCAACAAAGGACAAAATGCGGGTGATACCCTCAGACTGGAGCCACTCTTTGTTGTAGGCCGCAGTTTCAGGCCCGACATAAAGGCCATTCGTGATGTGTGATCCGGTCATCTTGGTAGTTTCATCCTCTCGCTCGTAGCTTGGCCGAACAGTGACCGTGGCTCTCACAGGCTTCTGCTCTTCCATAGTGACTGACAGTACCTTCATTGCACCCTTGCTACGAGCACTACGTCGCCGCTGCAGGCTACTGCTGCCACCACCCACCAGGACATCACAAGAGAATGCTTTCTTTAATAAGGGCGGCTTCTTTGGCAGTTTGGGACTACTGGCCTTGCCATCCTCCAGGGTTGTTGACGTTCCAATGGGGAGTCGAGGTGAATGAGTTACGGAGAGGTTTTTCATCTCCTCCACCGGCCCCGGTTCTTCTGCTACGCCTGCGCGGACAGCTGTGTTGAAGACACTGTCGCCTGTTTTGCTTAGCATGTTGACGCTCTCCTTGGGTCGAGTCAGCACTGGATCCGGTGCTTGAGAGAGTTGGCGCATCTTTCTCGCATCTGGCACAGTGGCACTCCGTATCTGTCTCCGCCCTGGACTGCTGAAGGGAGATGAGGGGTTCGACGCCGGGTTTTCAGATATTTTGAACAGGCTCGAGTTCCCAAAGTGGTTTGCCATATTCACCACCAAATGCTTGTTCTGTCGAGGCATCATAAGATCACATAGAAAGTACACAGAGGCAGAGATTTCAGATTCTGTAAGACCACTAATATTAACGAAATTTTAATTCTAACGTTTTAACGAATTGCAAAATCGTTAAAATTTGAAGTCGTTAGTCATTTGCCGGTTTTGAGACAGAATTCTTTACCATTTCACTTCGCTAACCAACAAAAATCCGAAAATCGTTAACTCTCGTTGACGTTAAAATATCTGGTCTTACAGTACTGGTACTGGCAGACAGACAGAGGACATTTCATACAATGTATCATGTCATGATAAAGAGTACAATACATGATATACATGTACCCCCTCTTGATGATATTCAGATTTCTAGCCGAGTGTTTCTTCTACTTGGCAGTAGGTACATGACTTGTTATTCATCAGTTTCTGCTGGTCAGACCACCAAGTTAGAGTTTGCTTGGGTTGCGATAGTGTATGCCCTTGACAATGGAGAAAGTTTTGAATGTTATCGTGCCATGCCCACTGAACTAACTTTACTTGTTCGTCGCAAACACCACCTCTATTCTGTGAAACAGCGTAACAGATTCGTCGGTATCAAGTCTTACTCATGTTGTGTGGTTTGTCTATCTACTGTCGTATGAGACAGACAGACAAACAGGCAAACATAACATTATGCTGGGAGGCAAATACAGAGAGGCAGAGACAGCGACAGAGAGACATAGACAGACAGAGAGACATAGACAGACAGACAGACAGACAGACAGACAGACAGACAGACAGACAGACAGACAGACAGACAGACAGACAGACAGACAGACAGACAGATAGACAGACAGAGACTGGGAAGTCGGCTGAAGGAGACGAAACCAAGATATAAAACAGAGGGGAGGACCTAATTTGGAGTAGCACCGCTTATCTCATGCCCGATTGAGGTTTATAACTTTAAGTATTACCCACAAAGTTGACTGTGTTGTCATGTGAGTGTATTAGTATATCTGTTGGTTTTGATGTTGATGAGAAGTCTGACATAGTGATAGTCACAGAGTAGAATACTAGCTTTTCGTGGAGGAATTCGGTGCATAATCGACGCTGAGTGTTTCGGTATATTCACAGTATCCCCCGCCATGCTTATCAGCTTTTCGCGTGTTCAAGATTATACATGTGACACCATGGCGCTAGTCTGTAGTGTGGTTCAGTCTTCTTCTTTTAAATTTTGTTCAAGTAGTGTGCAAGTAGTGCTAGTTGAACTGCTAGGACAAACTGAGTAATCTGTTGAGGTACTGGTATGTCACACTGCTCTGGCACACTCCCAGCCCACGCCAGCGAGACAGAGGCTAGTCAAGTGGCAGTCAACCACAATAAGTAAGCGTGTGAAAGGAAGAATAATCATGTAAAAACGATCTTTCTAGATGAAACACAGTGGTATAGTGCCGGTACATGTATGCAAGAATGGCGCTTTGCCTTCTTGCCTCGTTCCTCATAAGTTCAGGTCGCTAAAGGTGACCCACCAGTTTCCCGGAGACCTTGTGAAAGACAGTTGTAGCGGTCTCTCTCCTTGGGACAATGGTGTGCTAAGTGAACTATTATTACTAATATTAGTGTGGTTTTGTTTGGATGAGGAGGTGACGTCCCTCAGGCTCCTCTTGGAGCTCAATGTCTTCTTCACTTCGAACGCTTGCGTCTCAACGTAATGACAGTAGTACAGAACAGGACTTTGGTGTGGGTTCATTCAATGTCCGCGGCTTGTCGTCAAGCCTAAAGAAACAGCAGCTTGCCGATGACCTTCGGAAATACAAAATTAAAATTTGCAGTTTGCAAGAGACTAAAATAAAGGACGGCTGCGACGAACTAGCTGGTGACTACAGGATATTCTGCTTACCAACGGCGAACAGGCATTATGGGCTTGGGTTCGCTATTCACAACAGCCTGTTTGAACGTATTCATCGGATATGGTCAGTATCAGACCGAGTAGCTGCGATACAAATCAATTTGTCCAAGAGAAGTACTTTATCTCTCGTCAATGTGTATGCGCCAACGGCAACCCGCGTAGCGGCAGATGATGTCCATCTCGACGAGTTCTACTCAGCGCTCGGAGATTGCCTGGGTTCAGTAGGGTCCAGTTCGCTCGTTCTCGTCGCTGGCGACTTCAATGCCAAACTCGGCCAGAGGGATGACTCAGGCGGCTCGTGCACCGGACGATATGGTCGTGGACGTCGTAACTACAGCGGAGCTATGCTAGCGGATTTCTGCGAGTCGTTTGGTCTCTTTGCATGTAACACTGCCTTTCAACATCCAGCTAGGCATCTGACAACCTGGACAGGTTGGAGGCACAACCCAAACGGCGGTTGCTCTATCCCTATATACAATCAAATAGATTTCATCTTGAGTAGCAGCAACCAGAAGCAGATTTTCACAGATGCCCGATCCTATGCTGGGACACTGGTGAAATCAGACCATCGGCTCGTTGTCGCACGCGCCCGTCTGAGCAGGATCTATGGTCTGTGGGCACATAACAACAAAAAAAGAACCGCGAAAGCTCAGAAGTTTCAGGTTCATAGATTGAGCGAGCACACCTGCCGGCAAAACTTCCAGTCCCAACTCACCCATCGGATCGCCAACGGCGCAGTAGACACATCCACACCGGAAGCACACTGGACATCGATCTCGTCTTTCATCCAGCAAACGGCAAAGAATACCATTGGACTGGCACAGCCCCCAAAGAAGCAACAGCGTTTCATGGATGATCAGCTACATTCCTGGTCGGAAGAGAAAAAACGGTTACGACTGCTGATAACTACAAGTAGGGATCCACAAAAAGTGGCTGATCTGAAGCATCGGCGGAACACCCTCTCACACCGAATCCGGCTGCGAGCAAAGGAACTAGCATCGAATGAGCTGGACGCTCGGGCGAGGGAAGTAGAAGCAAAGAAGGATACAGCACAGATGTTTCATGCAGTCCATCTACTCCAGCGACAAAAACAACAGCCTATCACTGTGCATGATGAAGCGGGTAGACAAGTAATACAGCCAGTCTCAGTAGCCATCCAAATCACCGACCACTTTTCTAAGCTGTACACACCGGAGCCTGGTGCACTGTTGCTGCGGCGACCGGGCCTTGCCGACCAGGATTGCGCTATTCAGTACCGCCGGCTTGAGCGGCCCATTTCTGAGGCAGAGGTGACACAGGCAGCTGGAAAGTTGAACAATGGCAGGTCAAGTGGCCCAGATAACATGCCAGGGGAGCTGCTAAAGTACTCACCTGCCCTCGTCTACTCCAATATCGCCCAGGTCCTCAACTCTGCCATCGAGACAGGCCTGCCCCTGAACAGCATCGGTAGTGGGTCGCTTATTCCGTTACAAAAGCCTGGCAAATCAAGGGGACCAGTCGCTCACCTACGGCCCGTGGTTTTACTCACAGCGCTCAGGAAGATTCTATCATTGATTGTGCTGCGGAGGATCAACAAGGACGTCAACAACTTCGTTGCACACACACAGAGTGGTTTCCGCCCCAGCAGAAGCACCACAGATGTTGTGTGGTCATACCGATGGTTGGCGGCTCGATGCCAACGTTATCGCTGTGCGCTGGATATCCTAGGCATTGATATGTCAAAAGCGTTTGACTGTATAAGCAGGCCACGGCTCATCTCGGTGCTGGGATCGTTCTTGCAGCCGGATGAAATCCGAATGATCAGTTACCTCCTCCAGGACACCGTACTGCGGGTTGTACTCCCATCCGCTAAGGGCCCGTCATTCCCCACTCTCCGCGGCACACCCCAAGGTGACTCGTTGTCTCCTGTTCTTTTCATTGTGTACCTTGAGGGTGCGCTGCGTGATGTCCGGCCTCTTCTTCTACCACGTCCCCCTGCCGATATCTCCCTGGGGTTACCAACTGAAACTGCCTACGCCGACGATGTGGATTTCGTGACTACTGATGGTGAGAGGCTGAGGACCCTCCTTCCAACCATATCCAACAAGCTCCTCGAATGGGATTTGAAAGTGAATGAGACCAAAACAGAGCACACGCACATCGAACGGCACACTGATCGCATCGAGGAGGAGTGGCGAACCACCAAGAAACTCGGGTCCCTATTAGGTGATGCCGAGGATATGCTACGGCGACAGCAACTGGCAACTGTTGCCTTTGGTAAACTCTGGATGCTGTGGATCCGTAGGTCGCTAGTTTCGGAGGATCTCCGCATCCGGCTCTATAATGCCTTTGTACTCCCTGTACTCTGCTACAATTGTGCAACATGGGCACCAACGAAACAGCAGCTGAGCCGTATTGAGGCCTTCCACCGAAAACAGCTGCGGGCGCTAATCGGCATTGTGTTCCCGAATCGGATTAGGAACGAGAGGCTCTATGAGCGTACCGGCGCGGTTCCTCTCGGCATTATCATCTTGAGAGCTAGGTGGAGGCTCTTTGGGCACGTCCTCCGGCTCCCGGCTGACTCCCCACCATCACTGGCCATGGGAGCGTACTTCGCAGAGCCTCGCCCAGCGGGCTGGAGGGGACGACCAAGACACACACTACCAACGCTACTACAAGATGATGCCAAGCGGATTGGACTTTCCTTGTCAAGCAAAGTCGATCTGGAGGCGTTCCGTGCCCTTGCTGCTGACCGAAGCGGTTGGGTGGGCATCTGTGCCCGAGTGTTGTCGGCACCCTAGTTTTTGTCTTCTTTTCGCATATTTCTTCTTTTTCTGAAACTGTAACAGTGTTATGGTCTTTTGTATCTATTCGAAGTGGCTTATGCGAACATTTTTGGCTGGTTTGCATGATTTGCATGCCCATTAATGCAGCTGCAGGCCATGCTGATGTCTACGCGAACAAGCACATAATAAATAATAATAAATTTAAAACTACAATCATGTAACTCATTACTGTACAGTCATTGTACATACTACCAGCTCTCTTTTTTACGTACACCAGCAAGACACGGCTTAGACCATGTCCCTGGTTTGTGCCGCGTGTGGTGTAAGACATAATCTGTACTTACCGTTACTTCGTTCAAGTAGGAATATCCGAGTGGACGTGCGATCGACAGCACTCGCTTCCTATGAGAACTGACTTCGCCGGATGGGACGCGGCGTTAATGCCTGTACCGTGTACCGAACACTACTAATACTAGTAAGCAACAAGTCTAGTGCGCCGCTAGTTACGGCCGGCACAAAGCTAACCTTCTCCTAGATCTCGGCTCTTGGTGGTCTGTGATCGAAACTGACCGTCCCTAGCGCGACCGTCAGATTTCTAGTGACAGAGAACGGGAGGAGAGATGGTTAGCATCTCACTTCACAATCAGAAGAGCAAGATCCCATGTGGTACTCCGCTTCTATTACTGCTACACGTTAGGAATTATTTTATCTACTGGTATTTTAGTTGCACATCGCTCTGCAAAACGAACTTTCCTGCTGTATGGACAAGAACAGGCGGCGCTCCTGACTACTCAAATAGAAAGGAAAGTGGAAACGAGACCAAGCATACACGCGGGTAAAGACAGTGATTATGTACGCAACGTGGCGATCACTCGCTTCCTATGCCCGTCGCACACACTATCTGGGTTCTGGGCCAGTATGCCTGTATGGGCACCTGTAGCTGTGAGGCTGTAGGTGTAAATGGCGCCGAACGCAATGCACGGGAATGCAGAGCGTGTGGCGTTGTCGAAGGCACTAAGTCTACGTATATGCCCAAAGCTAACGGTAATGCTCAGTATTATGGTTATGACTGAGGACGAGACTAGAACTAGTAGAAAGCCAGGGAGAGAGTGGAACACATAATGCCCCATCTCTCGCATCAGCCTACTGCTTGGCACAGAAATGGACCTGCATTGCGTGGACGAAGGTCTCGTGCCCCCCACAGTGGGCCACTACCAATTATTTCAGTCCAGTCTGAGGTTAGAACATTGCTAATCCCATGCAATGATGGTAACACAGTAACTACATTCTAGGTCAACAACAGGACGTCTCACTATGAGTATGACTATGAGTATGACCGGCACGCGGTAAGGCCTAAGGGTGTGTGCGTGGCAGACACTCACCACAAGCATGTTGAGCTTGAATAAAGAATCTATTGTGTCAAGTACAAGTACAGTGACCGCCGCGAATCCGGCTATAAAAAATAAAAAAATAAAGTTACTTTAAACCAGGGAGTCGTAAAATACCGGTATTTTACGACTCCCTGCTTTAAACTCGGATACTGAGCCAGTAATAAAAATGTTAAAAAGAGAAGAAACACATGAGAGATGTGTTAGAGCTAGGTCTCGGGTCGCTGAATGTCTCAGTAGCCTGTCAGTTTTGTGCCCTATTATCGCACTTTCTGACCGTTTATCATCTTGTTACAGTCGTGGATAGTTGCTGCATATACTCGTTCTCATGTGTTTCTTCTCTTTTTTAAAGTTACTTTACTTCTTTAATTTTTTGAAACTCGGATGTTGAGCCAAAAAAGAAGAAGGAAAAGGACATATTCTGTCAGTTTTTTGCCTAGTTGTTGCACTTTCTGACTGTATTATAGTATCTGGTTACAGTGATGGAGAGTTACTCCATAATATCCTTTTCCTTTCTACATTTTTAATTTTACTAGTTCAGTACAACTGAATCATGCCCATTCCTAGCGACGATGCCCATGTCAGTAAGTACTGACTGTAGCGCCTGTGACTGTGTTGTGGTTGTTTTGCTCTCTTTTATACTACTGTAGTAGACAGTTTACACTTCTGTTGCAATTCACATTTTTTAAATCGATTTTTGCTGTTCTCCTTTTTTTAAATCTTTGCTCTTCCTGCATTCATACCATCATTGGTTTGTGCGTTCAATAAAATACGTAGTACTCGGCATCTTTATTGTTGAGCGCACCGCATGTGGTACAGAATGTGTGGACTATGTAGTGTAGTCGTGGCATGCAGTACATAAGTGTGACTTCTGCTCTGCCTCTGACGTGTGAAGTAACGTCAGTAAGCTAATTGTGGTAACGTCTGTGAATACGTAGGCTGCGCTGCAAGTATGGTCCGCAGCCTGTGGTTAGGCAGTTGGACAATGACGTACTGATGCAGTCTGCGTGCGGCCAGTAACACTGACATGTACCGGCTGGTACTACTGGTAGTAGTGGGTCACTGTGAGCCCCTTGGCCCTCAGCAGTGCGCCCCCTTTTTCTTCAGCCTTTTCCTGATTCCATGACGCGGTGTAAGGAACAGGCTGAAGAAAAAGGGGTGTACACTCGTACATACTGGCGTGGTCAACACTGACAACAGCATCCTAAGTTACCTAACGTTGCCTAGCCTATCCTAACGCTGCCGGATCATTGCACTGACCATGAAACTGAGTGAGAGAGTATCTAGCCCTACTCCCCTGTTGTACTGATAATACCGGTAATAATATAATAATATTATGTAACGTTACTAGTACATTTAGGTAACATAGCCTTAGCAGTAGTGAGCTGCGGCTTTGGACTTCTAATAAGTCCTGAGCTGCGGATCCGACGATGATGTCATAGGGAAAATGTGCTCAAGTAATTACTAATAATTAGTATGCCTCTAAGGTATGGTAACGTTATGGTATGGCACGGTATGGGGTAGGAGCGCAGTAGAATGCCCTCCCGCCATGTAATTGTTTGTAAAGACCACAACAAGGGCACCTCCACGTAAGGACGATTGTAAGGATGATTATAATGTATAGCGAGCTGCCTGACCACAACATGGTCATCCTACTGAGATACCGATTACAGTACATTGGTACCTGTACGCCGTTATCTAGGACAGATGTCCAAAGGTTAAGGGGTCCTTTGTGGATCCAACATTCTAATCATGTGTTCCATATCTCCCTCCCCGTACAGTTCAGTAATCTTCACGTAGTATTACAGATGCATACTGAAGTAGTATTCTTCCCCCTCCCCAGTTTACTCTCAATTGTTAGTATCCCAATCTCTTACTACTAGTATGTGCTTCCATAGCCATTTCTAGGCAAAGCTTTCGCCATCATTTTATTGGGTCGTCATCCCGTTTGAATGTGCGAAGTAAAAATGAAAACCACCACCACCACCACCACCAACAACAGCAGCAGCAGCAGCAGCAGCAACACCAACAACAACAACAACAACAACAACAACAACAACAATACTCCCCTAGGCCCTGCACTACAGGTGGCAGGTGTGCGGGTAAAGCTTCCTAGTGATAATGTACATGTACATGTACATGTACATGTAGCTCGCAAAGCAGTGACATTGGCAGAACGATACAAACCTCATGGCAGGCACTTCCTTGAATTCTGCTCCATTTCTTTAGGCCACACCAAGTTTTTTCATTGTTTCTCGTCACCGCGCGCGTACCTTTCTTGAGGATTGGACCAAAAAAAAATCTCGCGTCCCGGTAAACACGCATAAAAAGGCGTTGTAAAAGTACGCGCGGCGTCAAATCTGGAGTGCAGTGTTAGTGCACGAACCGAAGGACGACTTTTGCACCGTGTATGTACGCATACCGGTAGTTCAAGTACCACACCACCACACGACCTGGTCTTCTTCTAACATGCAACACTGGACTTCCTCACCAGAGGCCGGTGCAGGAGCCTGGTTTTCTGGCTGTATGTTGCAATTGACTGTCACGCGTGGTGTATAGTCTGATTTTAGGTCATAAATTGGGCCTTTGTAGTGTAAATAGCAGTTTTTGTTTTTCAAACCCTATTTTGTTTTTTTTCCGCCCGCCCGCGTTCCTTTTGAGATTTTCAGGTGACGAGAAACAATGAAATAACTTGGTGTGGCCTTATCTACATATCACACATGCATGAAACACACCAGACAACACCAAATTCTGCCAATTTTTCTGCTGCCATTATCCGCCTAGGGCTAGCAGTGTGTACATGTGCGTGTCTACAATGTACGTACGTGTGCTCAATACCAATCTCCACATGACTGCGGTGGCCAGTTGCAATCGGATTTCCCTCGAGTACATTCTGCAAATGTGTCTGGTGACTCTGTGTGTATGTGTGTTTGTGTGTGTGTGTGTGTGTGTGTGTGTGTGTGTGTGTGTGTGTATTTGTGTGTATGCTGTGTGTGTGTGTTGTGTGTGTGTGTGTGTGTGTGTGCGCGTGTGCGTGTGTGCGTGTGTTACTTACTGTGGTGTGGCGAGACCATAAGTGGGATCATTTCCAAGTACACCCAAACTCTGGGGACTTCAGGGGGTGTCGGCCGGTGGGCGGTTCAATAGCCAATTGAGTCATCTTTCCAAGATTCCTTTTGAGTCTCTCGCCCCTCTCCCGAGGAGACCCACGTGACCAGGTTTGGCAGTGAGCAAGTACACGTGTGCGTGTGTATAGCAGATTACGTTGGAGTGTTACCGCATACTCAGCGCTCTATTGTACAGCACACGCTTTGGAAGACGAGCGATGCCCCACATAACACGTCTAGAGCAGAATATACATGTACGTCAATACGTGGGCGCTAGCGCTAGCACTAGCACTGAGGCAGTGACTGAGGCACGCAATGATGCATACGATGTACAATGTGTCGTGTACATTATGTACATCCACCAAGGGACCACGTACACTTCATTCTGTGGTACTAGTACTAGTCTTGTTCTCTATTGACTATTGACAAGTATTGTACTTTCCCAGCATGTGCTTCATGACTCGACTCTCCACATCACGTCACAATCATCATCGCATCTCCTCCATCCAGGCCAAAGGCAAAAGAGACAATACAGTTATGGTTACATGTACGTATCCAGGACGGTTGCCAGCATGTTACAAGGCGGAGAACACACAGTGCAGGTGTTGGGAACAGTGCTCCTGACTACAACCATCATCGGCTGGCGGAGTCCTGGTACGGTCTTGCCACCATCTGAACCCGACTGCATAGGGTCAAGCCTCAGTTCGGACCTGTATTCGTCGGTTGGTGGATGTGAGTGCTGTGTAATGTTCTTCCTGCACCTGTAGATCTACTGCTTTTAGTCTGTGTTGACTGTTGGGTTGGCACTTGGCGGTGTACAGCCTCGTCCACAGTAGCACAGCCACCACAGACACTCTAGCCTGGAGTGGGCATGTACTTTGTACATTAGTGTTACATCACATTGCACTGTTGCCAGTAGAACACAGTCAGTGCGTGTCGATCTTCGCAGTAGTTCACACTGGAGCTACTTACACTGTATACCTGGCAACGTTGGCTTCGCGGTTACAACCATGAGTACATGTACTGGATCAGTGGTAATAATTATGTATAGGATATTGCACGGTTCCGAGGGGATTATTTTTCAAAACCCCAAGGCGCGCAGCGCCGCGGGGATTATGAAAAATAATCCTCGCGGACACTGTGCAATATCCTGTACGAGGTGATTCGTCATTATTTAACACGAAAGTAAAAAAAGCCTTCCGTAGGGTTCGAGGTGTGAATCTTTCCATTTCTTCCTCTAAAAATGTAATACTGATATCCTTGGATTGCAATGTTGGGTTTGTCATTCACATAATCCTTGGTGTTGGGAAGCAGGTGGCAGTTGAAAAATGGCAATTTTCCGCATATTATTAATTTTTGTTGTGGTCATTTCTTAACATCATGGTAAAATAGGCCTTAGCAGCACAAATTCAAGTCAGTTTTCAATAGA